TGTATGTGTATGTATGTATGTGTATGTCTAGGTGTATGTATGTGTGTATGTAGGTGTAGGTGTATGTGTGAATGTATGTGTATGTCCAGGTGTATGTATGTATATGTGTATGTGTGTATGTATGTGTGTATGTATGTGTATGTATGTATGTGTATGTCTAGGTGTATGTATGTGTGTATGTAGGTGTAGGTGTATGTGTGAATGTATGTGTATGTCCAGGTGTATGTATGTATATGTGTATGTGTGTATGTATGTGTATGTGTGCTGCATGCAGCCACGCCGCAGCAAAACGGACCAACAGCTCCTCCTCCCCCCCCATCTCCGAAGCCTCACGGACTGCGCCAATTGCCGAGGAGAGAACGCAAGTGAGAGATAGAAGGCGTTCGAGCAGATGGCGAGCTGTGCCTCGCCGCAGCACTGCAGCGCCCTTTGCAGCCTCCAGAAGGCCAGGTGTTGTTTGCGTGCTTCTGTCGCGCGAGCGCATGCGGCTTGCGTACCCTACCAGCAGCAGCAGCAGCGCTGTGTATGGGATATTTTTTTGCGCATCTTGTCTTCTTCTCAGAGAACCCCCCAAAGTCCAGGCTGCAAAGAATCCTTTTGGTTTCTCGGCACCCCCAGTGGTTGGTGGCTCTACGATGGAGTGCTGACTGCCGCCTTCGGGAGCTTCTCGCCTCTCAGTGTTGCGCAGCTTTCTACTGCAGCATGAGCAGCAGCACCCAGTGCACAGTAAGCACCGTGGATATCTTGCCTCTGGAAAGCCTACCGAACCCCTCATGAAGCTTTAGAAGTCACACGCGATAAAAATTTAACCGCTACAGCGCTCGTCACCGACCGTTTCAGCGCGCGTAGTGCGCCCACGCACGTTGGGCTGATAGCAGTAGCGTTTTTGCGAATTCAAGGGCTAAGTGCCTTGTGCGTCGAAGAGGCTGAGCCGCTACCGGACAGACAGTCTTAAACGCCAAGTCCGCTACTCCCTTTCATTGGAGCGACTGCGGGCAGGTGCAACGGCGAGACTGGCTTTCTGCATGCGACCGGGTTCCTTCGAATCCACAAGCGTCATACACAAAGCCTCTTCTTCGCCTCCCTAAGTCCCTCTCGAGGAGGAGTCGCTCTAGTGACCCTTCTCACCAGTCCCTTGGCTCCCCCCTAATTATTCGGAGGAAAATTTTCCCCGATCAACAAGGCGACAAGGCACATCAGTGTCTCGGCGCGACTCTCGGGGTTCCCACGTAGCCCATGTGGGGCGGTCAGAGGAGAGGCGTGGTCAGCCGTAATTTCCGCAGCAAGGTAGCTAGGTGCACATGCTGTGAATTGGAAAGAACACTGCCCTCCAGCTGTCTAAACTCTGATTTTCCCCGAGAATCGAGGTGCAGCAGAGCCATGGCCCTCCGCGTTGCTGTGCATTTCACAGAGCCGTATTTCTGAATGCAATAAGACAGCGGGGTGCACGCAACAAGCCTGCGGCACGGCTAATAGCAGAGAACAAGGACTGCGCCAACTGTGTGCGCGTGGCTTGCCTCTAGCTTGCCCACTCGTTCCCGCTGACGGGGGTGCCAGTGAGGATACAGCCAACCTCCCTGAAAGAGGGTGTAAAGCGGCGTTATCCATCGACAGTGAGAAATAACTTCGCTTTTGCTCAGGAAGTACTGTGTTCACGCATTAAAAACAAGTGCAGTATCCAGGATAGCCTCCTGCCTCTCGATGCTGGCCGAGCAGCAGATGCGACCTCGAGGCAATCTATTTCATACTTTAGCGCCTTCCTTCCCTTTCTCCCCTCTCCCATTATTCTGTGTAGTCTTGAGTAACACGTAGATTTGCAAGATTCCTCATCTAGAAGTTAGCAGAGCCTTCCCAAGCCGGATGGAGGGGCAGCTCGTCTTTCCCTCTTCATCGCTCATGCCCACTCGAGTCTGCGACGAAGGGAGCTCCCTTCTTTTCTCGCCTCCTTTCGACCCCCGTAGGACACCATTGCTTTCCTTGCTTCTCTTTCCATTCTTAATTTATGCAACCCCTAGAAGCAACCTCTGTTGTCTTCTTTGAGAAATAGTTCCGTGGATGCTCCTTGGCAACCCCCGAGCCGTATCCCGTCCCGCCAGATCGCACTTGCGCCGCGATTGAGGAACGATTTTCTCCCAGGCTGAGGTGCAAGTTGCCTTGGGCGGCTTGTATGTCGCACCACGGTACCATATAAGCTCTTTAGAGGCCTTCCGCCGTCAGGCTCCGACCGACTGACTGCCTTTCGAGACCTTTCCTCCCCAGTGCAGGGCGCAAGGGGAACTATTTCTTCCCTCGCAAACGCACCAGTTGGGCGCCAGCAGCTGCCCCAGGCACAATGCGGAGCCTCTGTTGGCTGCTACTTGTTTGCTCCTTCGACGCGGCGCGAGTGGCTGTTGGCAATTCACAGGCCGTGGAGAGAGCAGTGGGCCATGCCATGAGCAGCGTCGCGAAAAACTCTTTCCCAGGTGTGGCGGAGGCGGCAGCAAAGCTTTTGATGGGGGCTTTCGCGAGGAGCATGGATGGGATTCGCGGCAGCAAGCTGGTGAGGGAGCTCAAGTACCTCGTGCATCCCCCCAGTACTGATCCGGAGAGCTTCAAGAATGCCATCAGCGGGATCGGCCCCGGGCTGGTGTCGTACTTGGGGTGTATCGACAGACTGGGGAGCGACCAGCGGCCGAGCGCTGTGCAGGTTCTGTCCAGAGATCGCTGCGGATCGCTGCTCTCTTCGCTCTCCCGCCAGACACCCTTCCGCCAACCGCAGACGGCTTTCAAGAGGATGGAAGGACTAGAAACCAAACTCCAGCTGATCAGTGCCGTCCCCGAAAGTGCCCCCATGAACAGCCCGCACGGAGGACCCCCAAACGCAGATCCCGACAACCTGACTTCAGCCGTGAGAAGCGTTTTGGCAGTGTTCGAGGAAGACTTGGACAAACACTACAGCTCTTTCGCCCGCTCTCTGATGTCTTCGTCGGACCATGAAGAAGCGAAGGTGTTTCTGCGAAGAATAGGACCCCATTTGATGGCGGCTCTGCAGCTCGCCTGGGAAACCGTCGAAAGGCTCCCCCCAGCAGAACGGACGACACACTCGAGACGTCTGGCAGCTGCAGCACGCGACCTCGCACAGCTGGATGCGTGCGCTCAAGAGGCTGCAAACGAGCTGCAACCCCTCCTCGAGGATTACCCAGTTATCGCCTACAACAGCACACCGCCTCTCACACTGGCGGAGCTCCAGCTCACCAAATTTCCTCAGCAGAGTACTGCGCTGCTCCAGTCTCCCCTACAGGGACAGAGCTCTTTCCTTCCTGCACGTATAAACTCAAGTGCTACACCTTCCCCCCAACTCGGAGACAGCCGTGGCTTAATGCCGCAGCACCACCAGCAGCCGGAGCAGCAACAGGCCGAGACGCAGCAGCTGCCCCAGCACCAACGGCATCAACCCCGATCGTACCTCAAGCAGCTTGAGATGCAGCTGCCCCAACAACATACGCAGTACGCGCCAAAATCGCAGCAGCAGCAATACTTCCTGCAACAGCAATACTTCCCGCAGCCTCCCCAATTCATGGACCTGCACCAACGTGCATTTTGGGAGCGTCTTCTGGAACGGCAGCAGCAGCAGCAGCAGCAGCAGCTAGATCAACGACGAGTGCCGCAACTGCCTCCGAACTATCAGAATTACTGGGAGCCCTAACTAATCCGTTGGCGCAGTTGCAGCAGCAGCATTTACATCAGCAGAAGAATTGCAGCAGCAGGAGCAACAGCAGCCACAGAAGCATTAGGGAGGTCGGGAAGCAGGTAGACTCGGCGGAGCCTGCGGCGGACGGGCTCCGCCACGGGCACTTTCGCTGGATGGACAGGCATCCTTCATGAGATTAGGTCGACCCGTGTGGGCGAAGTGCATACACTAGATACACCCTGTGCTACATCTGGCTGAGCGCCCGCAGGGGGTGACAGTTTCGTGGTTCCCCTCGTGCAGGCAGTCAAGGCGTGCGTCTGCGTTTCGGTGCTCGACAGGCATGGCTTATGTTTGTATTTAAATCGAGACTATTCATGTGGAGCTGAGGAACTGAGACCTCGCGCTCCTTGAAGAGGAACCCTGGCGGCATTTCCTGGCGGTCCTGGGCTGCGGGTTGTTTGAGATACGGGTAGAGAATCCGGTATGGCTGTGCGGCGATTGAGGTGCACGGATTCTCTTTTGAGAACATGGAGCAGCGTCTGAGCGGACTCCAGGATCTGGGGAGGGGCGGCACGGGGAGCGCAAAAGCAGCAACAGTGAAAGGGCGGAAGTGCGGCAAGTTCGAATTGTGAGAGAAAGAACTGGGATCTGGGGAGGGGCGGTAAGCGCGGCAAGAGGCACACAGAGTCGCATGCATGGTGGCAACTATAGAGGGTTAGAAGGCTGAAGCAGCAGTGGCGCAGTGTCACAAAGGGTGTGCGGGCCAAGAGCCGGCAAGGCAGAAACACCTCCAGGGAGCGTAGAGCGAGACAGCACACACTCCCACCGAGAGAGGAGGTAGGCAAGACGCAGGGTGTAGAGTAGCAACTATATGAAACCCGTAGCAGATGCAGCAAGCATGCAACAGCGACATGGAGCCACACACTGAAGTCAATGTGCATAATTCACGGGGCCGAATGGCCATGCCTTGTACACGCTCAGTGCGCATGGGGGCTGGAAAGACAGACAGAGAACGCCTTCCAACAGCCAGAAGGGAAAGCGTAGAGTTGGCGGGCAGAGGCAGCAAAAAAGCGCAGAAGGGGGCCCCATAGGATTCCAGGAGTCTTGCGGAAAGGATACGCTATCTGTCGCGGTTGCTAAGGGGAAACCGGCATAACAGGACAGATAGACAGTTACAGGGAGGGAGGTTGCGAAGGCAGAGGAGGGTTGCAAACTTGCCTTGGTATAAGCTCCCTCTGTCTCCTGAATCGTCTTATCGTACTCGCAGCGCGCGTGAATCTTGCGAGCCAGACTCTCTGAGGGGCACTCACAAGGAAAGACGCTGAGGCTGGCACCGGAGTAGGAGGTAAGCGAGTCAGTCGAGGCTGCCGGCTCGCGCTTTCAAGGGGTGAGAAGGCATCTACGTAGCACAGGGACGCGCAATCGAGGCCGCTTCCGAAAGGCTCGGTTCAGGCAGAGTCAAATATGTGGTGTAAGATCGATGTGGAAGGGAGTTCAGAGAAGTAATGCGGTATGGCTGCGGTGCAAGCACGGCATGAGGCGTTTGTGGGCAAGGGCGCACACCGTATACTGGACACGGCCATAAAGCTGCGATTCGGTAGACAGACTTTTCTAGCTCTTTTCCGCCTGTTTTCTGTGCCTCGAATGCACAAACTACTTTTGGAATCTCAAGGTGTCAGTACACCACAGCAGGCAAAGCAGGGCCTGTGCGGAGGTGGCTACTCTAGCTTCCAGCATTCTCATGATCGGTTTACAGCCAAAAGTGGAACTCGAGAAAGGCGTACCCTTGATACGTTGCAGGCGTTCTTGTAACAGCTCGATCTCCCTCTGTATCTTCTCCTTGTCTTGCTCCTCCTGCAGCAGAGACACACAGCCGCGCTCGTGCGAGATCTCCCACCCGGTGAGGGCAAAAAGACACCCGCCACCCGCAGAGAAAAGCCTGCTTGCTTAAAAGGAAACAGCCGTGGTGTATGTTCACGCAAACCTCCTCTATCTGTCGGTTGACTTCATCCCGCTTCCTTTTGAGGTCGTCAATGCACTGCACGAGCTCGTGGTTGTAGTTGTGCAGATTCGTGTTTGAAATGGCCATTTTCCTTTTCTTTAAATCATTTGACAGCGTATCGCAAACCGATATGCAATTAAAATCAAACCCCTCTCCGAAAAGCACCGCTGCCGACGAGCATTAAATCTAAATGACCCTTGCGGTTCCTTCCGCTGCGGGCGCTTCTGCTACCAGTTTTCACTGCTACTGTACATTGTAAACAAATAAAACTAAACATAAACGGCGTTTAATAGTATTGCGTGAACCCCATAGTCGTTACTTTGCCGCCATTGAAGCCGCGCAGACCGGTGGCCTGGGGCTGAGCCTAGGCGGTCATCTCTAGGGCGCTGGTAGTTGTGCCGGACTTTATCTTATTTTGAAGTAATAACACCTCATTCGAAGTAATCTTAAGCAGAAATATGTGCTGGGTGTTCAAAGGGAGCACTTCGAGGAATTGGCAGCCAGCAGTAGTTCATAGTGCGGGAGAATGCCGCGACCTGCCTCCGGTGTCACGCTTGCCACTTCAACCGGCCACCGTTGCCCAGCTTGCTGTACCCTATAGGTATCAGACTCTTCAGAATTTGTTGCTAGAGCCGGCTTCGCGGTACCTGCAGCCTAGAAGGCACATACCGGCGTGCGCAACACCGGTTGTCGCATGCCTTGTTGTGATATCCACTGAAAAAAATATCCCGTTCTCAGCCAAAAATGTCTCCCATCTGTGTTTTCAATACATGCGCGATAGGCACAGTAACGAGCTCAAATGGACTCTTCCCCAGCAGTGGCAGCTGGCCATAAGTGGTTCGTTCCTTTTTATTAATCCTTGAAACCCTAACTCTCCTCTCTGCAAGGTTCATAGCCACTGCATTAACGAGTGCCAACATGCATTTTTTATAGGCGCAGAGCCCCGCCAAGCACTGTCTTGGGTAAGCTGCGCACGCTGTTTGCCCGAGATTCGAAATCCCTTTGGCTTGGCAGTTGCCTTAATCACTGGTAGGGGCTTAAGGGATAAAAGAATTTGCCGTTCCAGCTTGGATACTTTGTTTCAAGGTCTGAGCCTTCCCCGAATCGCGTCCAGTAACGGCTTTAGATGAGTCGCCGACGAGGGGGACTGCAGGACGAGGTCGTGGCAAATGGAGAGCGCATGTAAAGGCTGCTGCTGTTGCAGGTGCAACATAGCCAAGCGCAGCATAACTTGGTGGTGGTGTGGGTGCAGCGTCCGCGCCTGCGTTGGATACACATAAAAATGTATGCATATATACACACACAGTCTCTGCGTAGCTGCCTATCTATGCTGCACCAGTAAAAAGATGCGTGCTTGTTGTCTGAACGGTGCAGCTAGAAAACACAGCTGTGGGAGAGCATTGGGCGCATACACGTCCCTCATCATAAGAAAAGTGCTATCTCAATAGCTGCAGGGCGTTTTGTTACTTCAGAGCTGCTAGGAATTATTTCTCTGCCCTAAAAGGGGCGTTATACTTTGTGCTGTTGGCCAAAAGCGAGCATGCGCATGTGCGTTGAGGCTCAGTTGCACAGGGCCATAGGGGAAACACTTCTTGCATAGGTCACAAAAGAGATTTTTGCGCGGTTTCCGTGTGAAAGGGAAATGCTATCCACCTCGGCCAAGTGTGCCATAGCATCTGCATGTTTCTTCTGCTTCTGAGCTATCTTTGCAAGCAACTCGGATGCCTTGTACGTAGGACCCAGTGTGCAGACAGCCTGTGAGACGGCTGTAGCTGCTGCGTCCAGCTGCCTATCAGCTAGTAAGAGTTCTGCCAGCAATAACTGCGCGCGTGCTGACTCTTCAGCATGGTCAATGGGATTTGGTGCTTCTGCTGCTGTATAATTCTTTTGCATGTCTATTGCTTGCTGTAAGGTTGCTCGCGCACGTTCCGGCTGTCTCAATACAATATACGCCTCCGCTGCTACAAAAAGTGCATGCATTTGGGGCTGATGAAGCTGCTGCTGCTCGAGCGACTGCAGCAGTTGCTTGACTTGCTGCAACGCAGCCTCAGCATCAGCGCGGCATCGAGATAGCAGAGCCAGCTCGCAACGGTAAAGCTGCAGCTTGTACTGCTGAGTGGGGTCTGGAGAGGCCCCGAGGCCTTTCTCCCAAAAAGCTAGAAGTTCATTTGCAGCAGCGACTATAACACTCGTGCTGTGCATCTGAGGAGTCGCCTCCGCATTTTGATGTGCAGCAGCGGCGGGCAACCGCAAAAGCTCCTTCAACTGGTTGTGATCTTTTCCTTCCCAAGGATGAGATACAAGCACTTCAGCTGCAGTAGCAGCTGCTGCAACGGCTGAATCAAACCCTGCTGCTGCATTGGAGAAGAACGCCGCGATGCGCCTTCGTACAGAGACCTGTTGCATCCAATCTGAGTCAAGGAACCCGTAAGGTCGCAAGAGGAGCTCTAGCAGCTGTTGCATGCAACGCTCCCTGAATTCGAGACGGTCTCTTGCCGCAGCGAACATCTGCATTGCCACAGTTGGACGGCAACGCCACCTATTGAATCCACAAGCACCAAAAGGCTCTATGTATGTGGGATCTCATAGGGAAGGATGGCTAAAGCGCCTGAGCAGGTCTACCAAGAGATGGAACACTTAACAGTGGAGATTGAGAAGGACAAGCTGGAAAAGGCGAAATACATAGGAAAAACCCGACTTGTTTACAAGGGCCTCGCAGTAAGACGCCATCATCTCTCTCATGGTGTTACTTTCCCCCAGGCTGCTATGCTGCTCTTCGTGGTTCTGTCTCTGTGGCTGGCATTGTTGATCCTGTTGCTCGTTCCTTGGCTTTTGCCGGAGACGGGCGCAGACCTCCTCGCAGTCATCTAACAATCCGCGTCTGCGAAGCAGTAGAAGCGCTCCTTCCACCGCTGCAAAAGAGATTCGAGGCTGTCGCACCAGTTGTAATGCATGTGATACGATGTCGGTCAGGCACTGAGGGTCTTGTGGTAAGGCAGCGGCTATCAACTGGACCTGCAGCTCGGCAACTGCACTAGCATAGACATGCCCAGAATACACACATCCGACCATGCGGCTGGTTAAGTCTTTTCCTCTCTATTCTCCAAAGCAAAAGCTGCCGTGCTGTTGTGCATCCGCAGCCTTTTGTGCGACCGGGCTTTTCACGCTTAATACAATACACGCTTCATACAATACACGCTTCATACAATAAAGGGCATCTAAGGGCAGATTCTAGAGTCGCCTCAGCCTGTTACGCCATTGACGTCTTCTTTATATGCTGCACAACACCACCACAAGTCTTTCGGGTTACCTGCCGGATTGTTTGGTTCAATTTCCCGGATATCTCTTATAGCCTGCTCGGCCTCCTGCGTACGACCCAACTGTAAAGACACTCGGCAGCGAAGCTCATGAAGTTCCACGTCCGCTGCGTTGTAATGGAGAGCCTCGTTGCAAACGATTTCTGCTGCGGTGGGGTTCTTTTGGCGCTGCCACAGCAGCTTGATCAGCTGTTTGGACACGTCACAGAGCAGCTGCTGCTTGGCTCCAGGTACTTCGCTGCTACGCCTTTGGTTGGAAGCTGATAGTCGCCGAAGAGTGTCTCGGCGATTGGTTACTGGGGCCGTCCTGCCTTCGCTGTCTGCTAGCAGAGCTAAGACTTTCGATTGCAGCCGTCTTAGCAAGCTTATTGCTCTGCAGGGAGTTCATACGACACCAGACACTGGTGCATGTCCCCGTCTGTAGATAAAAGGGGCCTTCGGCGTACAAGCAGCACCGAATGCTTGCACATTTATGAACTAAAATGGAGAAGGAGCGCACATAATAGATACAGCGAGCACAGTGAGAGTGAAAAATCATAGATCTCTATTACTATGAAGAGACGGGCTCATAAAAAGGCGCGGTCAGAAAGGGCTCAGGAAAGATGTAGGATGTTGTAGCAGGTACTCTTCTAAGCCGGTGCCGTTGAGTTGCTCGGAGTCATCTCCCACTGCTGTCTGAGGCTGCGCGGAAGCGGCTGCCAGGGAGGCGGCCTTTACTAGGAGAATACGCAGCTTTGTTAGTAGCTCAGAGCCTTTTCCTGTAATGGCTTCTTGATGACTGAGCGGCGCCGTTGCCTTCAAGGCTGCCCGATGCCTCCCTAGCATATGCAGCAACTCCACCAGCTGTAGCAACAGAAGCCAGTCGCTCGGTTGCTTCTGTAGCTCGTTATGAGCTCGAGTTGCTGCTTCCTCGAAGTAATGCGCTGCCCGTAGGCTGCTGACTGCGATAGGAGCACACATCAATCGCGCGCCTCCTGAGAATGCCGAGGCCTGTCTTCATTCGACTTACACACATGGGTTGCGCCAAATTCGGTGCTTAATTGAAATCACACACACTAAATCATTTGTGCTGTAGCAGCTGCTACCAATGAAACGCTAACATGTTCGCGAAAATTTTGCTATTTTTCGCATGGCTCCTGCCCTCCTCTTCCGCTGGTCGCCGGCTGTTCTATCCCTGACCCAATCAGGCTGGCGGATGTGCTGCAGCATTGTTTCAGCGCTTACTTAGCTGGAGAACAATTTCTCTGTTATCTGGATGTAGTGCAAGAGCCTTTACAAATGCAATGGAAGCATCCTTTGGATGCTGCAGTTTCAAGAGCAGTTCTCCGGCCCTAAGAGCCGCACTTCCACTGAGGTGAAGCTGTAGCACTACACGACGCAGACTGCGTACCGCAGCGGCATCATCTGCAAGCAAGTCTTTGTAGACTTCAGCTCTAGCGATATGGGCCTCAGCGCTGCTGGGTGAATCTCTGCCAATCAGGCTGAGCAGCTCCAGGGCTCGCTGTGCGTCATCAGACCTTGCTGCGTGCTGCGCGGCTACCAGGAGGATTTGATCCTTTACCCATGCCTCTCCCTCCCCATCTTTTTTATCATTCTCGCATTTAGTGCTGTCAGACTGACTGCTTCCACCAGCTGGATCGCTGCTGCATAGGCCGGAGGGGAAGCCAAACTCCGCAGCCACTGATTCCAGCAGCGCTTGCCCTTCCTCTTTGCGCTTTGCTTGCCCCAAAAGCTCGACCTTTAGCAGTTGCGCTGACAGCCTTTCGCAGATTGTACAGTGCAGAGGCAGGGGCGAGAGACCTAGAATACCCCTTGCGACAGTTTTGCTTCGCGCCGCACATTCGTTACATCGACAGATCCTATCCCGACGTTCCCCAGACGGTGACCCTTCGCGGGGTAACTCATTGGAAATGTGGCCTTTGGCAGCAATCGCTAGACAGCAACATCCGAGCGCTTGCTCTAGTGTTGTTAGGCTATTAGCGGAGACCCCAGCCTGGGCCTCAAGCTTCGCTACAGGGACCAAGAAAAGATGCAGCAACCCACGCACAACAGTTGAGCCAACCGGCGCCAGTACGCAAACAGGCAAATTATATCCGCTGCAAATCGCTAAACTAACTTCAGCATGAGCGGCTCTACGGGAACAAGAAGACAACGGCACATTCGAGGAATATTTTGGAATGTGGGGTGTTTATAGCTGCCTTCGTTCCCTACGTGCCACACAGCAGTGCCTATGCTTCGGGTCCAGTGCATAATCCATCGGCCTTACAGGGATCCTTTCAGTGCTGTTCTGTTAGAGGTTTGCATCCTTGTTCTGCATACCTTGCAACAATGCGCATGCTGGAACAGCCCGCAGCGAGGGCAGCAACTGCAGCGCCTGCTGCACTTTGTCTAGGCCGAGCTTCGGCTTGCCAGCTAAAGATAGGCAACGCGCGTGCACGAGAAGCAGCAGGGTTTTGGGAGTCTGACTAAAGCCCTCATTGTCATAAGCACTCAGTAGCTCGCTGCAACGATGCAATTCCCCACGTAGCAGAAGTGTGCGCGCAAGGAGCACCTGAGGACTCACCCACACCCTCGTCGTGCTCCCTACGGTTTTCCGCTGAGACGCCATATCCGAGCTTATTTTGAAGGAACCAGACCAGCCAAAACTACATGCGTAATAGAACTGTCATGGATCTCAAAGCGGGCATCTGAGGGTTCTTTGTCGCTCAGGCACTGGGATCTAGCCTCAGGATGCCACAATCTTTTCCACACTCAAAAAGTTACAGCGTACCCGCGCATCATGGTGGGCTGGGACGTGTTGTAGCAGAGTCTGTAGGATTTCCCGTACAATGTTCAACAGCTCAGTCACAGCGCTGTGCTCTTGAAGCTTGGAGGCTGTAAGGGGTTCCGTGGCACTGAAGAATCCAGGTAAACGTTGCCACCTTTAATCGCAACAGGCGACCACAAGCAAGGCAGTCATGACGGCTTGCACGCCATACCCACTTTTCCCCACCTCCCTACACCGCCGCAACCATACAGTAATTTTTTTTCAACTGCATCCATGTTGGGTAGTCAGCGTATTTCGCAGGCCTATGAACGACAACTGGAAGCAGCGAAGCGGGTATGCTGGCCGGAAGCGGTTCACGCAGTAACCCTTGCTCGTAGTGGGATTTCTGCCGATGTTAGCGGTATCTTTAATTCATTTGCCGTGCCTGTCATTGCGATGGCAGAAGCGAAAAGCGCAGGTCGGCGACGTACCTGTCCTTTGTGGGGGCGTTCCCTGCCATGGCTACAGCAACTGTGTTCAAGACACGTGCTGAGATAATGAGCCAAAAGTTGGGATTCAGTGCAGCGTACAACCGGAAGCCGCAAGCATCTTGCAGTTGCGCGCGCCATTTGGTGGCTGCAACAAGAAGGGCAGATGCTAGGGAAGCCGTTTCTGTCTCTGCCCGCGAGGACAAGGGTCCGACGGCGAACTCCCACCGCAGCAGGGATAGCATGGCATTTTGGCTCTTCTCTGCTACCTGCAGTCGTCGGGCAGCAACGCATGTTTTGCTACTGTTTTCACGTAGAAGTGCGCTATATCATGTTGCACCTTCCGCAGAATCAAGAAAAGCATGCCAGCCCTAACCAGAAATACTTTATGACGCACCCGCCCACAGACTGAAAAATTTGCGGTCATATATATAGCAAACATCCCGCCTTTCCACTGCTTCATGGCCCTATCGAAAGCTAGAAAAATACAGCTGTGAGGCTTTCAGAAAGATTATTTCGGCAAAACATAAAGTTCTTAGAAAACGTGTCCAACGCATAATCCAACCATATCACGTATGAGGCTTGGCATGCATGCTCAGAAGCACCCAAAGGTTGTTATCTGGTGCAGATACGTATGCGTGTGTTCTATGAAAAATGCGACAAAAAGCAGTCGCGTGGCTTCAAGCTGCAATGGCCTCCGTGCAGTGCAACTAGACAACAGGTGGCGGTTTGTAGCGGAATCAACAAGCTCGAGCTCACTGCCAGGCGATTGCTGCGCTTTTCGTGAAGCACTTACTGAGAGGCTCTCAGCCTGTTTAAGGCGTTCAGTAGCTTCTTTGTCTTTGGCCTGCAGGAGCAAAGCAAGGGTCGCCCCCTCTAAGGCAACCTGCTTCTGCTGTGGTATCGAAACTGCATCAGCAAGGTCAGAAAACTCTCCTTCAGCTTCCACGGGCTTCCCTGCCAGCAGCAGCTGCCAGGCGCCTTCTTCGCTGTAAGCTCGGAATATTGCGGCTGCGTGATCAGACCATCCCTCTTCTGCTTCACTCAAAGCCTTCAAAGAGAGGCCTCCAGCACGGACTACAGCCAACGTGGCCTCTACAATGTCTTCGTTGCGGTGATGTGTGGCACAGCCATGGCGGTCGGTGTAAAGCCAGCTCATGCATCCGCACAGGGCTTTGGAGACTTCCAAGGCGAAGTGGAACCCTGGTGGCTCCTGATCACATTCGTAAGTCGGCCTCCTCGAAACGCTCCACAGTTCGCACTGCAGAGGTCCGTGTGGAAGCTATTTAGTAGAGAGCTAACCAACAGGGGCATGCGAAAAAAGCAGCTCTGCGATTCCCAAGAAGCCAACTAGAGTACTGTGACGAGGGCTCTCAGGGATGTAGCGCACATCTGAGTTAAACGAATCGGCAAGGCTGCGAAGGGGGCTAGCACGGCAAGGTTCTTCCTTAGCCTCGGTGCCGCCACTGCACAAACGGATTAGCGTCAGAAGCAAAGCCGCAGGCTGCTGGACCTCACTTTGTCCTCCAGACATTTTCGGCGCAGCAGCAGCCGCTGCTGCCGCTGCTGCTTCACCCCACCGAGAGACGGATAGCAACAGTACAGCCTGCTGTAGCTGCGCGCCAGCTAGCCATGGCTCCCTGGACCCCAAGTCGGTGAGGATGTCGAGTGCCTGCAGCAAATCTCAGTACTTCAAGGGGAACCTTCAAGGCGTTCGGGGTTAGAGGCTGGTTCATGCGCCTCTCGATAGAAACATGACACAGCAAAACTTTGAATGCGCTACGCAGGCGCTGCTGAAGATCAACACAGCCAGCAAGGGCCTTGAAAGTGTTGTACTGTCCACACAACTTGGTTCGTGTAGAATCCCACACACGAGTTTCGTTTTACTTGTTATAAAGTGTCATGGAAAGCCCAGTAGCCGCCATCCTCCTTCGAGCCTGAACATCCTTTAGCCATGATTGTGTCGAGGCAAAGCAAAGCTAAACATTAGCCTTTGTGCAATTTACCCGAGTCCACTGCCTCCTCCTGCGATGAACCTCTGCGATACCAAGGAAGGTACGAGGGGCCGCTGTGCCTTTGCGGGAACAGAGGCCTTTCTGCTGCGCTAGATAAAAGCAGCGCTCTGCAGCTACAAGCGCCTGCTGCTTCGGCGCATCCTTTTCGTTGCAATCATGAACAGCCAAATTCAGCCACCCCTTGACGCACAGTCGCTCTTCTGTGTCATCTTGCACTTCCTGAGAATAGGCATAAGAACTATTTCGCATGACTGCCTGCAACCACTTGTAGTAAATTCTTATTTTGGTGGCCGCCGTATGGGTTGACTGGCTAGGGACGCCTTGACTACTCAAATCGTTGAATCACAGGTTGGTTGAATATGCCAGGTCCTTTGAGTTCTTAACAAGCATTAGACAGCTCAGCACGGTTCGTCTGAGCATACAGTCCACCTGCTTACTGACTGCTCGTGCAGGCCACAAAAGAATGCCGTAGAAAAGTATACGCAGCAGTCGGATCGTGCAATGCAGTGCAGCATTGGCCTGTGTTTTTGATTACCTCAAGGATTCCTGCAGCCTTTGGAAGGTCCCCGAAGTGCATCAGAGCAGACGCCATTATAAGTCTGCTCTTATCATCCTCCAAACCGAAAGCTGAAGAGGTCGTCGTGGTGCTCGTGCTCTTCTGAGGAGGAGAACCATCAGTCTGCCTGCATTTGTAGCAACAGTAAGTGGCTCTACAAGTCAATGGCAGAATCGTGATTAAGGCTGGGAGCAGGAACGCCAAAGGATGCACTGCATTGATGCAGCATTTTCTAGTTGCAGAAGCCACAGGCCAAATCAGATCATACACTGCAGTGCAGCAGGTTCTTGCAGAAGTGACGTGTCTGCCAAAACGAAAATTAAATGTAAGCGAATGCAGTCTAACGGAAGAAAGTCATGACTCGTTGGGGAATGTTCCGCATACTCGGACTTTGCCCATAGATCGAGCAAAGACAGACGGAGTTCGCGTAGCGGGAGATGCGGTAGGCCTCCCTGCTGTTGGTACTTCTCCACCAGGCGTTCCAGCAATTCAAGTGCCGACTTAAAACGAAAATCCATGGCAAGGGCTACGATCCGCCAAATGGAGAATTCGCCCTGCGCCTCATAGAAGTCTCCCCTGTTGCAAATCCCTAGCGCAGCACTGAGCAGGCGGTTCTCCAGCGCGAAATGGAGACTGCAGTGCAAGCGTGCCGAGACCTCTGCGTCCATTTTGAGGGGAAACCAAGCAGTGACACCAGAGGTTACTGCTACCACTACTGGGACTAATGCTGCTGCTCTTTGACTAATAAAATTGGCCAAGGAGATCTAAATTGCGTCTGTCACCGCAACACTAAGGAGCCTTTGATGGTGCTGGATCAATTGCTGAAGCAGCCTGTGGTTTGTGTGTTTCTGAAGGGACAATCATAAGCATAGCTGGCGATGATGTATTGGAGCCGGTGGCAACAGTGGGAGTTACACCTCCAGGCTCTTGTTGGGGGAACCAGTGTGAAAGACAATAACAAAATAGGCCATAAAAAGAAAGGGATTCGGCCCTTCAGGCGCCTTCTGTTCAACTGCAAGCTGTTCTGCAGCCAGCTAGAACCTATGGGAAGAATTGAGGTATCAAAGAGGAGGAGCCGTTGCTCTCGCGAGGAGTAGCGCAGCAAATGTTCGACACTTCTTCTAAGCCCAGTACGGGTCCATGTAGGGCATGGTGAGAGCAGCACTTTTTTTGTCGGTCTTGCCTTGTATCTCTGATTGTCATGAATACACGGGGAATTCAATTCAATTATAGCATCAATGTGAACACTCTGGGCTTGTATTTGCCACTGCAGATACTAATAACTATTCCTGCATCTGCTCTTCTCTCCAAAAAGAGGCGTGGACGCTCAGTGCTCACAAAGCAAAGGTACGCAGTTGTCGCGGAACCATCTTCTATGGTTTCTCTGTAAGCGGTGGACTGACAGCTGTCGCCCGACACTATTGCGGCGCATACACCGAAGCTGTATCCAATCAGTGGAGGCTGATTATATTACTCATATAGCCGCCGTATCGTTTTGATATTGGGCGCTGTTTTGTTGTTTTTTAGCGAAAGGGGGAAGCGTTCGAACTGATCACTGATGCAGTGTGTCTCCATGCGCACACCGTTCCCTTCAATGTCGTCCAGTGTCAAGATGATCATGAGGCCGCCAGTTTTGCGCTTACAAGTATTTAAAGCAAATAGTAGAGTCATTTTGGTTACGGAAGCTCTTATGGAGCCAAAGGCCTTTGAGATCAACGAGGCTCTGCCTAAAAGGGCCCCCGGTGTCTCCCCTGCACTACTGCGGTCATCAGCCCCCCCACAGTGCGACCAGCTTCTTTTTGTGTGTTCTTCAAAACCAATATTTTAAATATCTGTTTTGTACGCCACATTTCACTTAATGAGGCAAACTGAGGATAAAAGAAGCATTTTGGCATAGCCTTTATAGACTGCCAAGGCGCGTACTTTGCCTCTAACCAGTCTCTGTTCACACGATCCACTTCATTGCTTGTCTGGCCAATCAGCTGCCCAACCATACCTTTCCTCTCTGGAGCTCCTCTGCTTGAATGAAAGGGTGTCTTCGCGGCGAGTGCTGCGACAGAGTGTCTAGGGTCACTCCTCCCTAATACAGGCACCCAGCACAATGCCCTCCAGCCTCAAAACATCTCTTTTCTGTATTCTGCTCTTCGCACTAGTGACAACCTCTGCAGCTGAACAGCAGCTGGTTGATCAGGAGGCACCGAAGGTTGGGGAGGGCCGGGGGCAAATCCGCGAGGCTCCCCCACTATCCGCAGAATTCCAAAATGTAAAACAGCATCCAAATAATAATAAGCCAACAATCAAAGGGGCGGATGCAAAAGAAACACGTGAACAGCCGCCGACTCAGTTTTCCGAACAGGAAGCAACAGATGCAGCTCCACAGTCCGGAGAAGTAGCACTAGAGCGCTTATGGGACGTAAATAGCACAGTGAGCCTCCCAGTAAGAGGCAGCGTTGACTTTGTTCGCAACATCGAGCCCGTAATCGCGGCAGGAGAAACGTTTGGCGCAAGCCTGAGAGTAAATGACAATGACGGCAATCTGCTTACCTCCTTCAATGACGCATTGTACTTTAGTGTTTTTACCCTCGAAAACCATGAAGGCTCAGAGCTTCTAGAGCCAGCAGACGCTTCAGTATTTACTGGCAGCACCTTCGTCATGGCCCAAGAAGGTAAGCAAAGAGAAGAATTACGAAGCGCTGTGCAGCTAAAGGCCTTCGCTCCAAGCGGCCTCGAGGAATCGTTCACGCGGCACATAGGGCTTTATTCAGTGCATACAAGCTGGCTAACTCAATATGCACGTAGCAGCGCGTTAACATAATCTCGGAATTTTCGTGCTTGCCAACCTAAATATCTAATCTCAGAGAAAAAGTTGGAGGCGGCAACCACCATTACTATGGTAGCAGGCCTCTACGGCGCTGCTCGTCTTGAGACACTTAGCGGAGCACCATATAGACTAGGAGTCAGCTGAACAGTGGCTAGGACCCTCATTACTTGTATATTAAATATGCCTCAAGGCGGTTTCACGAGCAGCACTGTCAATTGAAATTCCGTGGATTCACTGATGGCTAGTCAGCAGGCAGTAACCGATGGGAGCAATGAGTAGTTTGGCGATGTGAGAGCCAATGAACGCAGATGTCATATGGTCACATCCATGCCATTTGAGGCATTTATCGCAATGCAGCTGACCCTTTCCACTGAAGTGGTTGGATGCTTCCGTAGGCGCAACAGGTTTTTGCACCAAGCAGCTGAACTCTTCGTCACAGCACCCGTTGTCCAGATGGAAATCTAATAATAGACACTCACTATGCTTGCAGCCGCACGTCTTTCCGACAGAGTCGAACATGCTCTGTACGCATCACCTGTCGAACGATGCAGGTTCGGCGTCCGTGAGCAACTGGCGCATCTTGAAGACAGGGCTTTATAAGGTAAAAGCCACATGCGACAGCTGCCTGTCTGCTGTCTCACGGCCAGTGCGTGTTGTTTGTGGAGAGCCCTTCTCCCTCCGCCTTATACAGCAGCCAGGCAACAGCCACAGTGGAGCACCGCTAAGCGTAAACCCTGTCGTCGAGGCTACAGATATATTTGGCAACGTTATCGTGGACCTGGCTGGACATGTACACGTGAACTTGCTCCCAGGCAGGCTGAGTGCCTCCGCAGCGCGTAAGTGGAGGCGCGTTCCATTGCCAACGTTTTAGAAATTAAAGCAGCAAGGCTTGCAATTTTCCGAAGACACAGTTCTGTCTTTCGTATCTTGCAGGCTCGGTAGATGAGCCATCGGTAATGGGGGTATTGACGCGTCCTTTCAACGACGGTCGTGCGGCATTTCCAAATTTGGTAATTGCGGCAGCTGGAGTTGGTCATCAGTTGAAATTTGTCCTCCTTTCTCCGACAACGGGGAGCCCCATCGAGGTGGTTAGTGAGCCCTTCAAAGTGGAAGCATCAGAGCCTGCAGAACTTGTATTCCTACAGCATCCCCCCGCAGATGTCGGTGCCGGTGCGGCATTCTCAGTAACAGTACAGCTCGTCGACGCCCATGGCAACGCAGTTCCTGAAAGGCACACCATCAGATTAAGCCTATGGGAAAGTAATTCTTTGGCATCGGCAATCCTAGGCACAACTGCAGCCGTATCAGATATAAGTTCGGGCATTGCGGTCTTTGAAGATATCGCCTTCTTGAGTTCCGAAGCCCCTTTGCTTCTCCAGGTCCAGCAATAGCCTAACCACACTTTTTTCTGCCTTATTAACGGGAAAAAGCTCAAATTATACTTAGCTGCGACTACTCAAGCAGGAAGAGAAAAAAAGCATTGGGCATGCCTAATTTCTTCAGCATTTTGGTTTGCTGCTGATGCGCTGACAGGCTGAATGCACCACTTGCACAACAAGGGTGACAGGCTCTTCGCATAGCAGCGTATGGAACACGTCTTTGGTCATCACCACAGCATGCAATTTGTTAGTAGAGGGCAGCAACGAAGGAGATGACGAGTGCTCCGTGACGGTATCTCTTGAAACCCTTGTTCAACGATGGCCAACCGCCCCAGTTACTGTGAAGGTATCCCATATCGAATCCATAGCAATGCACAGCGCTGGACGGACACCAGCTCTCACCATTGAACCTGAAACACTGCATTTCAGTCCTACCGACGGCCCAAGCAATCAGAAAATTCTAATCAAGGTAGGAGATGCCTAGCATGAAGAAACACGGGAAGTGCTGTTTACTAGTCCGATCTATACCGCCACATACTCAGCTTTGTGGGCGTGAAGTACCATGAACATGCTACCGAATAGATTACAGAAACGTTGGAAAGGAGTAGCAACCCTCAGTGCATCTCCTCCAGTTTTACGGATATCGATTGTTTGCTGTCAATGCCTCGTCGGCATTGTTACAGCATTCCCCTGCGACCTGTAGCGTATGAACTGTTCCTGGCCTCCTTCGCAATTTGTGTCCTGCGCTAAGGCAGTTGATGACGCTCTTTTGCAATACAGCGCAGATGTCTCCGACGCTGAGTCGAGATTGTTTATCCAGCACTACCGCGTGCACCTGCAAGCGAAATCCGAGGATCCGTTGTGGGATGCCGGTGCGATTGAGTGGGTTGACGAGCCATTCATTACAGTAAAAGTCCTAGACAATGACAGAAAGCTACTGCACTTCTTGTTTGAAGAGGAACCAATGCTGCTCCGGCGTGGGGACGTGGTAGGCAACTGCAAAGTCGCAAGCAGTCATCTCCGCTTCTGTAGGACTTGAGCAGGATGCATGAGAACGGCCACAAGAGGTGCTCTGCGTATCGCCTGCACCGCTGTGGACTATAATACAGTATGTGTGAGACAGAGCGTTTGCGGTTGCAGGTTTTCTACGATGTGTCTCTGGGTTTTTCACCAATCAAGGGGCCCATTGACGTTACCCTGGAGGCCCCTGTCGGCATTACTGCAGAGCCGTTGACAATGGAATTTGATTCAGAGAATTGGAACATTGCTCAGCGCGTGCGGGTTGGTGTCAACAGCACGTTTCCTGCTGCCCCCATTGTGAGTGATCTGTCTACTTTCTTGCGAATTCGTGCACATCCATCACCTGCATAGCGTTATATCTTTAGTTCCTAAACTGTCATGAGGCCTAAGTTGCCAGCAGGCCTAATGAGCGCATTTTCTCGTCAGTTGCCTTGTTTATACCTACCTAGCAAATACACACACCACGCTAGCAGGCGCGCCAGATAGCACAACAAATACTTCATGGAAATGGCCAAAATACAACAGATGCTGTTCTAAATCACAGATGGCGCCGGGGTCGCCCTCGTTAGGAGTTGTTCCCAGCAAGTTCGTGATAACGCATATTCTTCGGGGACACTCGGTCCTTTCCAGAGCCTCTGAAAAGGAGGAACTGATTTTCTTCGTGGGCGAGGATGCAGTCGGCAGGGTCAGCGCTGAAATCGGTCATAAATAATACTTCTTCTGCAACACAGAGGAAACGCTGGGCTTGCTCCCTTCTCCATTGTATCGTGCGATCAGTTTCATCGCAGGCTGCTCCCCTGTCCGCGTGCTTATGTTGCTTTCAGGTCCTGTGGGATGACACAACTAGGGCTGTTTTGGCAGGGGATTCACTGGCGCTTCCATTCAGTCTCTCAATACAGCCAATTGAATCGGTATCAGTCACACTCAACTGCGGGCCTCTCTTGGAACCCCTCATCAGCAACAGCTTTACACTGACTCCGCTTCAATGGAGAAAAGGAGCAGTCTTCCGTCTAAAGGCGAAAGATGATGGGGGTGCGGACAGCACTTGAGCGAGGTTGCGTGGCTATTGCCTCTCCAGACGTTACTTGCAAGCGTAGTCACCAATGGACATTGCAGAAGGAAAATTTATTATGATCGCGGCAACTTATATATTCCGTGTCTTTCTGCAAGAGACGATCTTTGTACAGTTTTTCGACATTATTGAATGTGCTGATTACTGCTCATGCGCAGAAGCGGGAAAGCAAACTAGTCTGGAGACTTGTGAAGTAATTACCGAGTCTGGAGACAACCGCTTTACCTCCAATTCGGGCACTAACCACGCATCCCAAGAAGTCGGAGATTACGGGTTAGCTATTTTGATTTTCAAGCAGCACTGTGCAGATGGTACGTACAGAGCACAGTGTCCCTGCTACTCCGGCCAGCAATGCAAGCTGTCTCGCTACTCCCACTGCCCTGCCGGAACCTACAGGTACGTCTTGCTCATCCGCTCTACCTGAGACTTTCGCCCACAGCCTTGTCGAAACTAGGCAATTCTGTAGCGGCGCAAGTGGAGTTTTGTGCAGGGAAAGAAGGGCACCGTTCTTTTCATGAACTGACCAGATTGTAGCCTGTGTATGCATTGTGTGTGTCGCAGACTACCAGGCACCTCTGCATGCTTGCAGTGTCTCGAAGGGCATTTCTGCGTGGAAGGTTCCAGCAGTGCAGAACCGTGCCCCCAGGGATCCACGTCTAAAGCAGGAGAAGCAACATGCCATCTGTGTCCAATAGGTACAGGTTCTGCCAGAAGGCTTTACTTGCAAATCAACAACCTAGTACCGCTAACAAACTCTTGACAGAATTCTCTGCTTACGCGTCCCGCTATTGTGTCTGTGGAATTTGCTTCAGGCTCGCCTTGCGCAGCGCGGCAATCTACAGCTTGCCCAGCAGGCCACTATGCTGCAAGTGGTGCATGCATTGTTTGCCCCGAAGGCTTTTTTTGCCCAGTGCACGGTCTTGCGGAGCCGCAACCGTGCCCTACAGGAACCTACAGCTTCCAAGGCTCTGTATCCTGTATTCGGTGCCCTCAAGGAAGTTTTTGTCCCACATCCAAGCTTTCAGACATGAGTGTACGCATCCACACCAATACAAAAGTCGACAATCCGTCTTAACAGGGCATTAGGAGGGCTAAAAGCTTCAGTGCGAACTCGTTCGATACCCCCATTCACAGCTAAAACTAATACCAATAATCTAGGGTGCAAAAGTATTGAGTCCTGTCTTAAGCTGAACATGCATGGCGGTAATCGGGGGTTGTGTTTGGGTGCTGCAGGTCTGTCCTTCAGGAACATACAGTGACGCTGGCTCGATATCGTGCACCCCCTGTCCTGCCGGTGTCAAGTGTCTGGGTCATTCTGGAACACAGCTGTTTTTGCCCTGCAACCCTGGTGAATACTCGAAGGAGGCGAGTTATCCAGATGTCAAGCAAGTCTCCCTTATCTGCCCTTGAGCTTAGAGAATAGCGAATGACGATTTCGGCAGACCACTTCTTATTGCTTGTGGTGCCCACCCTACATGAGTGATGCGGCGGAAGCGAAGGTTCTTAAGCTGCAGAGTTTCAGTATCTACCTTCAGGGAATGTCAATCTGTGAGCCTTGTCCGCGAAACTTTGCTTGCCCAACCCCGCTGGAACAGCTCGCTTGTGAGAAGCCAACCCAATTCGCGCCCCCAGGGCAGCAGATATGCAAGCCGTGTCCGAGAGGTACGCAAAAAAAGTGGTCACTTAATCCGGAATCCCAATGGCTTCTATTTGCTCTCTTTAGAAGGTAACGGAGAAACCTTTTGTCCAGTGTAAGCGACCTTGTTTCTTCAAAGCAGCGTCGCATTGTGCCTTCCTATGCCAGACTTTAGCTGCGAGGGCGACGAACCTCAAGCGTGTAAGCCTGGGTTTACTGCACTAGAAGGAGAGGGCGTATGCTCGAAGGCCCATTTAAACGATGCTGCAACCGTCCACGATTTGCAACTCCGCGAAAAGTAGGCTCTCTACCAATCATAAAAATTGTTCAGCACCGCAAGCAATTGCTCGACAGTGCGTAAAAAGGCAACGCTTGCTTTTGTAACCGCAAACGATGAATCCAATAAATGTGCGCAATTCAGCATCCGCTCACGAGCGGAGCCAGAATGCCCCCCAGGTCGTTACTACCAAGGAACAGGCTGTTTTCCGTATGGACCCCTAGGATACTGTGCAAGCGGAAAGTGTCTCACTTGTTCCAGGGGCTATATCTGCCCTCCGGGAGCTTCAGCACCACTTTTGCTAGATGAGGGTTAGCATTTCTGCCCAACGTCGCCGTTCATATCGTGTACATCCCTTGTACTACGAATCAGCTCTCCGTACATCCAGTGCCTAGAGTTGCGATTTTTTTGGATGCCAAGGCACATGCATTTTCGCGTGCTGAACCTGAAGTATGCTGTTGACCTCTGTAGTATATTCTATTCAGGTTATTACGCCCTGAAGGATAATTTGCAGTCAGTCCAAGAAGCTATTCCGTGTCCGCGCGGTGCAATTTGCCCTCCCGGATCATCCGCATGGCAAGTGTGCGCTCATGGCGAGATTTGCCAAGGATGGGGAGCCGGCAAAATTACCTGTCCTCCAGGAACGGTGTTGTCAGCGGATACCGACTTCAGTGCGCATTCTGGGGCTTCAACCCTCCTCCCTGGGCTCGTATTACGCACTTTGTTCCAGTCATTCGGTGGGAGGCCATTTGCTTGTGCATGTTACAAGGATTTGGCACAACTGTTTTTGGTATATTTTGACTATTCTACAAACGTACACCATTAATATTTGTGCATTGCCTTTGCACAGCTCCAACTGACCCCGCCGCTTGCATGACATGTCCTGCGGGGTACTACTGTCCCATTTCAACTGAACCGCCGTTGCCGTGCCCACTAGGAACATACACAAAAACAGACGGAGCGGCATCACAGGACGCTTGCATTTTGTTCCCACCAGGATTTGTTCCAGTTAAGACTGCCGAGACGCTGGTACTACGTCGAAGGTAGGTTTCGAGATCAAATCTGCGTATCACCTATGTGCGTTGCGTGCTGATGGGCAGCATGGGATTGCTTCCCCAGGGCCCGGCTACTGCGCTCCCTGTGAGTGCCGACCAATTGTATACCGTCTATTTCGTATTGGTTTTTTACGAACTACGGCGTGACACATTTCTAAAGTGTCTCCTTGACAAAAACAGGCATGGAAAGTCAGGCACGTCTGAGGATGGAGGGAAAGTAGTGGCTACCTAGTGTGCTTTGATGTTACGTCCCTCAGAAATAGCGGGTTGATTCCATACGGCTGGGGCGGAGTGAGGCTCAGCTGCTCAATTGGATACTTCAGTAGGTTCCAACTTGGTACATCAGCGCTACATTGTGAACCATGCCCTGCCCGAATGGTGAGACAGCATTACCTTACCCTCAGTACTACAATGCTGTAAAGTAAATTGCAGCACTCACAATTATCATTTAGATTGCACAGGTCCTCATGGCGTCTTCGTTCTTGCACCAACTGGGAAATAGAGAACTTGCGATGCAGAAGAGCCCACACGCAAATTCCAAATCGATGGCCGTCTGCTGTGACTTATTACAATAGTGGCTGATTTCCGTATGCTTCTTAGCTTCAACAAGAATATTTAATGCACTTGCTTAAGCAAAACCAACACTCTTACTTTATGACACGAATCTTTCCTACTTTTCAGATGTGCGATACTGAAACAAATACAGTTCAAGTTTGCCCGAAAGGTTACTACTGCCCCACTGGTGAGGCAGATCCCAATATTTTAGAATCACCGCAAGCCCAGTGAGCATTCCTGCTCTTTCCACATTGCAAAACACTGCTGTATGCACAGTGTGTTTTTATATGCACTACAGGCACAGCAGTAGGTAAACAAAGGCCTTGCCTCGCTGGCACGTACTCCCCCTCTACCTCACTGGCGGATGCTGGAGAGTGCATTTCATGCATGCCGGGCTACTATTGTCCACAAGGCTCAACGAGTCAAATAAAATGCCCCAGGGGGTCCTTCTGTCCCAAGAGAACGAAATCGCCAGATCATCATCCGTGCCCTGGAGGCACTTACAACCCTTCTGAAATGGCCATCGTGAGTGCTCTCAGCTGTTTTCAAAGCGTGTTTTACCTGTGAACGGATGCTCACTTTCACGCGATCATCCATCAAATGAATCCATGAACTGAGTGTGGTGTGTCACTGGCTATAGGATATCGTGGAATGCCTACCGTGTCCAACTGGCAAGTATTGCCCTCAAGGTTCTTCTACGCCCTTGGACTGTCCTGAAAGTGAGTTTTTGAAACTCTAAAAGACTTAAGGTGGAGCTGCATACTGCACTCAGAAAGCTGCTAGACGTCTTTTCCGTTTGAACAACATATTTTGTGGTGATTTACTCTGCTCTGGGTGTTTGCTTCGACACTTCTATGTAGGGACTTACAGCGACGGCTACGGCACCAAGGGTCCAGGACCCGGCAGCCATAAGTCTATGTGCATGCGATGCCCTGCTGGATATAGCTGTACAAATGGCACAAGAACTCCGTGTGGGCCAGGGAAAACCTCAAAAGAAGGAGATGGCATTTGCATGGATTGCCCTAGAGTAGGTAGTCTGTCTAGTCGCCTGGAAGTAGGAAAAACCGCTCATTGGTGCTTCACGTGCCAATGGAACTTGTTCAACAATTCTAAACTGCACAAAAACCTTTCTACATTCTGTTTGTGAGCATGGTTTTTATTACTTCAGGGGTCATACTGCCCTATTGATGTCACGACGTACGATATGCTAGAGTCGTTTCGTTGCAGTGCCGGAATGCTCTGTACCGAGGAAGGATGGGGTAAGGGATAACAGACACAATATAACAGCTTCAGATGCAAGCAAACATACCGGAGTAGTAAAATGTATGCTATTTGTGAGTCCTAGAGCTGCTACCCCTGAACACAGTTTCCACTCCGACATAAGGTCTTCTTCGCTGCAGTGGACCTTTCAAAAAGTTCGCCCTGCCCAAAGGGCCATTACTGCCCTGCTGGAGCAGCGGAGGCAACTCCATGCCCGGAAGGGACATTTAATCCCCTAGAACGGCGAGAAAAAGTGTCTGATTGCATCATTTCAAAGGCTGGTACATACGCAAAGGAAGGAACTATTTCGGCCGCTGGCAGTGGCTCTTGCCAAAAGGTAAATGCCAACTAAGAGCATCAAGGCTGTTGCGCCGAGTTCACTACATCCGGTCTGTACCTTCCAAAGGTCGCTAATTACGTCTTGCTGTCATCTGACAGGGGTACTTTTGTCCGCCTGGGTCTTCCAAGCCTGATCAAGTTGCCTGTCCCTCCCAGTAAGCCACGATAAACCTGCTTTCAAAAAGAGAAGGAAGGCGGGAAGCCATGCAATATCTGAAAAACTGCAAATATCAGTGGGTACCTCTTAATTACGTGGTAATTGCTGTGCAGTGATGGATGGCGTACTCATCTTTCGCCAAAAACGCTTTTGTTTTGGACTCTCTGCCTGCTCGTGCAATGTATGAACAGAACATATAACCCTAATTCGGGAGGCAAATCCGCTAATGATTGCTTGCCGTGCCCGGCGGGTAAGTTCTGTACACTCGGTACCTTCGAACCGGTCGAGTGTCCAAAAGGGATGTACTGCCCCGTTGGGATATCAGAACCAAGACCATGCCCAGTGGGAACGCTCAGGTAAGTGAAATATTTCAAAGTAGTAGCTGCACTGTCGAAACCAGGAGAAGGCATCACTGTTCCAGTGAGCTTGGTATCTTATGCATGACTGTAGGAACGAGACTGGAGCCACGTCGGAACATGACTGCACTCCATGCCCTGCTGGCCGTTATTGTGCAACCAAGGCGCTGTCTGAACCAACCGGGCCATGTGCTGCGGGAACGCTGTGCTTGGAGCGCGCTACGCACCTGGCACCTAGGGACGGCCTCACAGGTGAATTGGTTAAAGCCTTGTACCATTTATCAGTCAAGTCAGCATGGGCTTCGATTATCAGAAACGGTTATAAAAATGGATAACCTTCGTCCGAATATATGGGTAACTGCCGGCTGACGGCCAGTGACTTTGATGAATGGAGGATATCTCATCCGACAGGGATATCGTAAGTAAGATCCGCATGTCGGCAGTCATGCTTCCCTCTTACGGAACCCAACAATGTGCAACCCCCTGATTTCAGGCGTCTTATGTCCTGCCTACGGATACTGTCCAGAGGGCGCTACAGCTGTAAGGGCTTGCTCAACGGGGCACTTTAATCCTTACGAAGGTGGTACCTCCGAAGAAGACTGCAGGCCGTGCTTTCCTGGGTATTACTGCACGGTGGATCCAAACGATCCAACAACTCCCATAGTGGAAAAATGCCGAGCAGGATACTATTGCCCAGAGGGCTCGTCAAGCCCCACAGCAAGCATTGCGCCTGCAGGAAGCTTTGCTCCCGAGGGTAGCGCTACCGCGGAGGCATGCAGGCCAGGTACATGGTCAGCAAAAGCAGGAGCTGCAAGCTGTGATCTCTGTCCTGCAGGCTACTACTGCGATGAAGCGGTATGCTTCACCACCCAGACAAAAAATTAAAACAGCCTCCCCTTAGCGTAAACCAGCGTATTCTTCTGTCGCCTACACAGAAAAGTTCAGTATGCTGCGCATTCAGGGTTTGCACCTAGATCACCCTCCCAAAGACTGTCGAAAGGGCATGTACTGCCCAGAGGGTTCTGTCTTCCACACGAACTGCCCGCCAGGAACATACAACCCTGAGCAGAACGGCAAGAGTATTGACGACTGCCGTATGTGTCCTGCCGGAAAGTACTGCCAAACAGAGGAGTTAGAACAACCTAGTGGCGACTGTGCAGCTGGGTACTACTGTGCTTCCAGGAGTACAAGCATAGCCCCATTGGTGAGCGACTACACAAACCACACTGCTTGAGTTTGGGAGTGCTCGTGGCACCAGATTGAAAAGGACCCACACCCTTTTACGCAGTGAGTTGGGAATCATATCGATGGAACACACGGTACAATCAAGTTACTTATATTTGTCTTGTGCAGGAGACGGACTCCTTCGGAAACGGGCCTTGCCCAGCTGGTTCATATTGCCCAGAAGGGACAGAGGCCCCTATTCCCTGTCCCGAAGGCACCTATCAGCCATCAACGCATGCGTCCAAGTTAGAGGAGTGTCTTCAATGCAAATCTGGCTGGTACGTTGCTACAATACTAGCTGGACCCATTCCAGCAGCAATGCATTAAAATGCCGATCGTCTGCAGTTCCCCATACGAAAAAATATTTCAAGCACTGTCATTTTGTGCTTTTTCTTCTATTCAATTTGTTTTTGTTTCTTGAGCGGCTTGACCTTAAGCTTGTAGGCTCACCTGCAGATAGGCCATTTGTGCAGGTACTGTGAAAACAAAGGGTTAACTACACCGAGTGCTCCGTGTTCACCAGGGTATTTTTGTGAGGGGGGTGAGACGGAACCCCCACGTGCCCTTACTGTGAATGAAGCAAAAGCGTAGTAGAGATAGCCACAATAGAGAGTGTAGGAGGCTTGAGGAAAGTCGATAAAAACACTCTGCGTTACTAAAATCCATGCACACATCCTGAGAGAATATGCGATTCCGCGGGCTTGATGACTGCCCCGATACTGTCGTGTTCGATTCGTGAAAGCGGTCAATGCTTTTGTTGTATCCTATGTTTTCTGCACTTGCAGGAGAGACTAAAGCAGAGCCCGCTGGTAAAAAGTGCCCACAAGGACACAGGTGCCCCCTGGGCTCAAGCTACGCAATCCCTTGTCTCCCGGTGAGCAGTTGATCCATAGTTCAGCTTAGGTGCCTGCCGTTGAGGCTGGATAGACAGGTATCACCTCTAGACGTATTTATTGCAACTTGTTGTGCGCGCTTGGGTGTGCTCGCTATCGACAGGGAACATACCAAGATTTGGAAGGCAGTACCTACTGCAATTCTTGCGGTGCCGGCTATTATTGTCCCAAGGGAGCCGAAGTTACATTTAATGACAAGTACATCTGCCCAGCAGGGTCGTTCTGCCCAGCAGGAACGAAAAGTGAAAAGGAGTACCTCTGTCCTCCAGGTACGGCCACTGTGGGTAAATTTTTGGCAAGACTGAAGCGGTTCCTACCTGGCCCGGAGAATAGTCAGCCTTTGACTATTCTTTTATTGGACTTAGCTTCGAACATACGATGTCTGTTCTTTAGGGTTTTACAACCCACATGTGGGCATCCTATCTGTGCTTGGCTGTTCGCCTTGCCCACCTGGGAAATACTGTGACCGCGCTGGCCTCACATCTCCAACTGGAGACTGTGCAGACGGCTTCTATTGTTCGTCTGGTGCTCGTTACGAAAAAGAAGTCCATACAGGTGGGTGCAGACGTTGTGGCCACGTACGCTGGTGCTTACACGTAGACTTTGGGAAAAAAATTCAGGTTGCGGCTCTCTTGGAGACTCTTACGCCAAACAACAATTTCCGTTCATTGATCTTGCGCTAAGGGAGGACTGCTCTACTTTGTGCAATCTGGGTAACTGTAAATAGCTGAATAGAAAGACGAGAAGGCTAATGCACAATGATCAACAGTCCGGCGAATTAATGCTTCTCAGGGTGTATATATGACTCGGGCGTTTTGGGACGGGGGACAGGCAGCTGTAACGGTGACGCCGGCCCATATCTTGAAAAAGTTGAAGCAGAACGACGGTGCTCGAGTCTCGACGCCTGTGTCGGGATAGAGGCGAATGAGCTGGGATTTCACATTAGGTGCCTTCCCTGCTTTCTCTCCCATGCAGCGTCCATGCTAGAAAGGCAGCATCCATTGGTCGAAGTGGCAGAGTTTAGAGAGCTTTTCTTTTTTTGACGCAGGTGCGGGACTGTGGAGGCTCCCGAAGAGGAACAACAAAGTGTATTTTTCCGAAAACTTTGTATTGAGGCAGGCCTATGTCCGCTGGGTTATATCTGCCCTCACGGAAGTGGTTCTCCACAGCCATGTCCTGCTGGAAAATACTGCAACTCCATGGGACAGTCCGAGCATTCAGGAGAATGCCGTCCTGGCTTCTTTTGTCCTGAAGGTGCGACTACGGTACTTATTATACGACGCATATGCTCTTGTACTGAGTATTTAGATGTGCTACATATGGCTGGAAATCTGGCCTGTTCTGGCTCAATCTCAGGCACTATCGACCCATCTAATGCAGAAAATGCATGCCCGCCGGGTTACTACTGCCCGGAAGGCAGCCCAACAAAAGTCCCTTGCCCCGCAGGCAAATACCTTCCTGCATCGTAAGAAAACAAACCCCTATCTTCCATTGATATTACACCTGCCACCCCTCACGAGGTATGCCTAGGGCAAGGTCATGAAATTCGTATCTTTTAGTTAGCCCGTCAGGATGCACCACGGTTTCCTGCAGCTTGACTCAGGAGTAGTCGTACTGATATGCGAAAACGCGTGTGTGCAGAGGAGCATGGGAAGAGCAGCAGTGCCAGTCTTGCCCACTAGGACAGTATTGCGCGTTTCCGGGGCTTGCATCTCCCTCTGGATACTGCAGTGCTGGTGCGGATTGAAATTGTGCGTTTCTGTGCATTGTTGTTTGCATAATCTACCATGATGCAGTAGTTCCACTCTGGTGACAAGCATGACGCCCTGGGTGCTTGCAGGATTCTTCTGTGAAGAGGGAAGCGCGGCTCCTGTTGATCCCACCAAGCTCTGTGCTGAGGGGCACTACTGTCCAGAAGGGACTCACACCGCCATTCCATGCGAGAGCGGCACATACCAGCCGCAAAAGGGGGCGACGATATGTTTAACCTGCCCACAAGGTTTGCTGAACGCAGCTGTAGCCAGCCACACTCAAACCAGGGAAAATTTTTAGTGTCTGATTTATCGGGTTGTCTGGAACATCTTTTCCTGTTACAGGATCGTACTGCGAACCGGGTTCGACTGCTCCCAAAACGTGTCCAGCAGGCTTTTTCTGCCCTGCCGGCACTCAGCATAAGTTTCAGTTTCCTTGTCCGCAAGGGACGTACGGCGTAGCCCAAGGTGCTATCTCCTCTGCGAGCTGCCACCTCTGTCTGGGTGGTCAACTGTGCAGCACCCCTGGAACATCGGCACAGGGGGATCTTGCTATGACTCCCTGCCCAGCAGGTCGGCGTGCGAATATACCAAAAGCATTCTGCCTTTAAATGTGTACTCGTGGAGCACCGTCGAAGCTGGCGCAAAAAGCTCCTCGTACTCCTCCCGGTCATAAACATTGCTTGCATCTTTGCATTGTCATCTTGCATATTTCGTGGAGAAACAGCACCCATCCTGCGTCATATTGTCATCGGTTTTGTTGGAGTGAGCACTTGAGTTTTGCACTGTCTGCAGGATATTACTGCGCTAATGGGACAGGGTCTGTAACCCCTACAGCTTGCACTTACGGCGAATATTGCCCCGAGAACTCGACGCTCCCTACGCCATGCCCCTCTGGATATTATTGTGCAAACGAAGCTCTTGAATGGCCCACTGGCCGCTGCCGGGGTGGATACATCTGCAAACAGAGATCTTCAACACACAGCCCTGAAGCTGCAACGTCTGGGGAGATGTGCCCCGAAAAATATCAGGGATACCCGTGTCCTGCAGGATATTACTGCCACACTGGTTCGCAATCCTTGCCTTTAAGACACTAAGCTCCGCAAGAACAGTTCTTGAGTCTCCTGTGTTCATAGTTGCAGCTGCTATTACCAAGGCGCTGGGCTAGCCTAGACCCTTGAGAGGAGGAAAAAGCCGCGTGTCCCCTCAACGTTGTTTTGCAGCTCCTTTGGTCGATACACTTAAAGGAAACGGTAATACAAAGGCCGCTGGTGACGGACTGTCTGCGCCAGAAGCAACGTTTAGTCAGCTGACAGGAATCGCTGTGAACCATATTCGAGGCGAGCTCATAGTGGCGGAGTATCAAGAGGGACGAATCAGCTCCATCCACCTGTCCACAGGTAGACTGCCAGTTATTCCGCCACTAAAGTTTGCACACCTTTTCTGAGGCACGTAAGCGAGTTCCAGCTTGTATGGCTATTTTCTCCTCCATTTTCAAGCTGCCTTATGTAGCTGTCATCTTTATCTATGGATTAAAGTGATTTAACCAAACATTACCCCGCGCGGTGAGAGCTTATATTTTCCGTGAGAGCGCCACGTAGATAGGGTGCTTCGAAGTTGATTTGGGGAAATACAGGGAATGGATGGCAAGGGAAAGAGAGCCTGCCCAAGTAAATTGACATGCTCACACAAGTGTGAACTGTGATTCTTCCCTTAGGGCTTGTAACTAAGATTAAAACTGGCCTTAAAAAGCCTGGAGGCCTTGCAGTGTCAAATGACGGAAACATATTGTATGCATCACTGTCAGGTCAGGCCCCCAAGATGCTAAAGCAGCGTTGCCCTTAAGCTTTTAAGGCTGTCAACCCCAACGTTGCTGTCCCAAAGATGATGCATTTTAACATGCCTGATGCGGGATGCGATATCCCTTGTTGACAGCATACAGTCTGTCCAACAGCTTACATGACACACGTTTATGATAGTAAGCTTTCACTGGACGAAGCTTGCACCTTTGTCCGGCTATACAGAAGATGGAAAGGTCATTGCTATTAGCCTGGAAGACTCTGGAGTCACCGATGTCCAAACCGGCTTAAGCGAACCGTGGGGATTAAGCCTCTCACTAGATGGCGAGACGCTCTACGTTGCTCAAGCAGGCGCAAACAAAATTTCTGCGATTAAACTGAGTAATAAGAGCCTGACCGATGTTATAGGAAGCGGAGCTCCTGGTAGGCCCCCTATGTAGAACCGGGTGAACCACTATGAGGTACAAAAGTGCTTGGTTTCCCCCATTGCCTGAAAGTGTCTTAAGCGGATTATCTTCAGGTACAGTAGCCTTGCTTTGCCCTTCACTGCCGTCAGTGACGTCGATTTGACACAGTACAAGCTTGAGTGAATTGCAATTCACGGGCGTCTTATTTGCTGCCGCAGCGAATATCACGCTAAACTCCCCTTATGCAGTCGCTGTTGCCCTCGATGAGAAGCTTTACGTAGCCGATACGGGGAACCGGAGAGTACGTTTGGCCAGTGCTCTGCTTCATCCACTTACAGGCAGTAAATTATGGCTTGTCAGTTTTTTTAATTCACCATGTGCTCCCTTACTCTTAAGCTACTTAGAGACCATATTAGCTGCTAGAGCTACCCGCATTGCTCAAGTACACATTTGCTATTTTCTACGTCTTATGTGCTAGATAATCTTGGCTGACGGGGAGAATGTGGAGATAATTCAAATTCAGCCACCACGGATACGGACCATGAAGGAAACAGCAATTGATTACAATCTGGGCTATATCGTTGCTCTAACATTTGGAAGCCTACAATCGGTAGGAAAAGCAGAAGGCCAATTACTCTTGAATATTCTGGTTTGCTCTCAGTTTATTGATCTGAGATTTTGGTGTGTGCCCTGATTTTCGAGCATGCAGTCGACGTTGTTTCTTGCTGACGCCACAAAACACATGTGAGGAGTTACTGGCCTTGAATCCTATGCTTTCGTGGCCTTTACGGCCAAACGCGGTCTAGTATAGTTTTCCTCATCCAATAGTCACAAGGCGTAAAAGTGACACGTTCCTGCATAAATTCTAAATATTCCAATCTGCTTCAGAGTCTGGAGGCTGGACTTGGACACACATCGCATTGAGCAAGTGCTTGGAACAGGCTCAGAAGGATTCAGTGGTGATGGACGGATTATCCCTGCGCCTGAAGCACAAATCAACACTCCAACGGGAGTGGCAGTGGGTGAAAAGGTAGGCATCAGCAGGAAGAGAGTGAGCACATACTGTGGAATCAGAGTTCTAGCACTTTGGCCCTTCAAGCATCTACGACTTTGTACTCAGCATGGCGCCCCAACCAAGACGCTCTATGTCCTTGACAGCGGCAATCAACGCGTTCGGAAGGTTTTTATTTCTCCCTCCGATAGAGGAGAGAGCACCGCTGAGCTTCCTTGTCCAGAGGGAACGTTTTCAGACAGTGAAGGCGCATCAACATCCGATGATTGCATTCCGTGTCCTGCTGGTTCGTCCTAGAAGACTTTCCACTTTCGACGAGTCAAACAGCCCAGAGCTTATTTCTTGATATGTATACCTATATGACAGTTAGAATGACAAAAATCATATCATAGACGAGAAATTATTCTTGGCATACTAAGTGGAGCCTGATGCTTACGAGCAATGAAAGAACAAGGGCGCCAGGAAAAGCCCGCCATTCTGTTGCTGTGAATGGCATTTAGGCTATGCCTGCCAGGGCGTGGGGCAACCACAGGTGACAAGTCGCTGTTCTGAGGGTTATTACTGCCCTGAAGGTAGTTCCAGAACAAACGCTCTGCCTTGTCCACGGGGTCATTTCTGCAAATCACCTGAAAGTGAGTGGATACCATTTGATCGGGAAACAGGAGATGGAGTGATGCAAGGCATGATATAGGGCAAATGAACGGTGCAACGTACTCTGGCTCTGTATCCACAGGTGCGCTTTTTAATGTTGCGCATAACGCCATTGTGGACACACTGACTTCTGGAGATTTTGTTGGTGGAAATACGCCCGAGCATGTGACAGACGGTGATACTGACCTAGGCACTGGATGGATTTCTCAGAGCACCGAAAACTTAGAGCATGGCTTGATAATTGATTTAGGCAAACTGTTTTTCATCAGCGAGATCAGAATTATTTCTGGTGGGCAAACAGAAAGCAAGGTATGTCAGTGAGATTTCCCTAACTCCAAAAACCAAGTAGGCTATGCGAAACCTTGACGTCGATAAACTTTAGAGTGCTTCACGTCTTTCACTGGCTCTTTTGCTACCACTGAAGCTGTTCTTGAAGAGATTCAGAAACAACTATCCCAGTCACAATATGCATTAGTTGCATCTGTATCAATTATTTGTGAATGCAGACTATTTCCTCCTTCTCGATGCAGTACTTCCACTCTTCGTCTTCCTCTTACCTTGATCTCTTCAGCGTAGCATCCAACGAGCATTCAGACTACTCAATGAGCTTTGGGGAAGTGGCCACGACAAAAATCATGCTGGTCTCACCAGACGCGCAAGTATTCATTTCAGAAATTATGGTATTTGGAACAAGTGCCCCTGGTATGTGGCAATGCAGCTAAGAAGACAAGTCACAAACATCTTGGCTGAAAACAGCTCATTTAGCTGGTTATGACTGTGCCAAGAAACGGTTGCCGACTGTCGAACGAGCTAAATTCGTACTATCCTCTGTGTTTTAGGCCCCGCCTCCCCAACGCCGTGCCCTCCTGGTTGGTATCAGGACTTGAAAGCTCAAACAGAATGCAAAGTATGCCCTGCAGGAAACTACTGCACCGACACTTCAGCCACACCGTCTCTGAAGTGTCCACAGGGCTACTACTGCCTCAAAGGATCATTCAGTGGGTACGAATACCCATGCCCCCTGGGAACATACAATAATCAAGTTGGAGCCAAAAGCTCATCGGAGTGCTTACCGTGCCCCCCCGGAAAGTACTGTGGCTCCCGTGGTCTGACTGAGCCCACTGGAGACTGTCTAGCTGTGAGCAATTTTTCAGCCGTATCCCATTGGCCGCTTATAGAAGGCACAGCAGCCTTTTCACAAAGCTAGGTAAAGTTACGAAACGAGATGTTAGTGGATGTATATATATGCTGCTACAACCACAGGGGTATTACTGCCAAGGAGGAGCCTGGTCCCCAGCTCCCCATGCTGAAGAGAGCAATCCTGACGGCATTGCTGGATCATCAGGCAGCCTCTGTCCGAAGGGTTACTACTGCACTAGTGGAGCCACAACCCCGACGCAGTGCCCAGAGTACGGAAACCGTTCATTAAAGGCTGGGAATGTAAATGATATACCTCGTCGCGCAGCCTCCGAAAGCTTGAGGTTGCTGGGTCCACCGAGCTTTCAGTCGAGGTTGAATGCAGTGTGAGAACGGACTGCAGGGGAACAAGTTCTGAAGTTCCAGGAGGCAAGCAAGCAAGCGACTGTTTGGCCTGCTTGCCAGGAAACTATTGCTCCAACTCTATGGGGACTGGTCTCTGTGCTGAAGGCTACTACTGTACTGAAGGCAGCACAACACCTACTCCCTCGGAGGACCAACACGGCGGGAGGTGTCCAGCAGGACACTACTGTCCGGAAGGCTCCTACGTTTCCCAGGTTTGAATGCGGCATGAGTCTAGCCAGAATCGTTCCAATACAAAAATTCATTCATCACTATCCCTTGCTGAGGTTTGTGCATTGACATTCTGCGGCTGTGGCTTCCGACACAGCCTTGCCCCCCCGGTACATTCAGTGAAGGAGGGAGAGGAGTATGCACACAATGTACTGTTGGATGGTCATGCCAGCAATCCGCTCTCGCAACTCCAGACGTAATTTGCCCAGCAGGATACGCCTGTCCCGAGGGGACAGTATTTCCCGTTCCCTGCCCATTGGGAACCTTTGCTGCAAGCCAAGGCAGCTCTGAATGCGAGCCCTGCTCTGGTAAGGAAGCCTGTTGCATGCATCTGTTCCTCCTAAGGCCGGCCAAACCTAGTGCTTGGCGAAAAAATCTCAGCCACGTTATGCGGAGTGCACTAATGAGCGTTCGGCGAAATTACGCAGGTGGATTTGTATGTGACGATGCCGGACTCTCTCGCCCATCAGCAATTTGCCCCAGCGGATTTGTTTGCTCCAGCGGTGCCCAAAGCGACTTGCTACCCCTCCATGTATTTGGAGAAGAGCATGAGGACCACGGATTGTGTCCCCCTGGGCACTACTGCCCTTCCGGCTCTGCGGCGCCCTCGCCCTGTCATCCAGGAACGTATCAGGTAGTTTTTGGATCCAGACTACCGTTTTCTACCCGGCCTCCACCCACCCACATGATCTTACGAGTATCACCATGTAACACTCTACAAAGCGTGCTCTTGCAGTGCATTGTTGTGCCGGAATAGGACGGAGTTGGGTCCGTGGAATGCAAGCCCTGCACTCCAGGATATGCATGCACTGAGAAAGGTCTAACGCGTCCGGTGACATTATGCGACCCTGGTTACTACTGTCTTAAAGGGTCTAGCACGCCACAGCCAGCTGATGGAGTCTCAGGTGGGCAATGCCCTGCTGGGTGGCACTGCCCGATGGGCAGTGTGGTGCCTAAAGCATGCCCTCCGGGTCAATATACGCCTCTTGCTGGACAATCAGCATGCGCACCATGTCCCGCTGGCTACAAATGCCCTCTATTAAGCCCAACACCATCTCAGTGCCCCGACGGACTGGTAAGAAAAAATCGACCACGGAGTCTTTATGTTGATCCAAGGCCCTGTAAAGTGTAACTATATCTCAAAAGCTATAGTTTGACAGTTCCATCTGTAAAGTCTGCATCCACCTGTAAGCAAAAAATACCGTGTTCAGAGCATGTTATAGTGTATTAATCAGTAATTCAAAAAGTAAGCCGCTTCAGCGTATAACTACCATAGCAGGAGTACATGTGCAAATTCATTTTAAATAAGCTGCTTCTGGAGATTGCAAACAACTAGCGAAAGGCTGACATGCCGGGACTTTGCCACAGTTTGCGCCTGGCATCGAGGCGAAAAGCCCTTTCGTGCAGCTCGTCCATAGTTGCGTTGCTTGACCTGAGCCTTTGTTTGAAGTGCCACTCCGATCATTAGGTATGTCCCGAAGGAACAATGAAGGGGACTCACTGCCCATACGGTGCCTACAAAACTCGAGCAAACAGCTCAGGTCTAACTAATGCATGCGCTCCTTGTCCAAGGGGCAAGTACTGTAGGGCTGGTATTATTGCTGGACCATGTAGCGCAGGGTGAGCTGAAGTTGCCTTAACGCGAATATATTAGGAGCACGCACACGAATGCCCCCGGTCACACTGGCAAGTGTCTGAGTGCTCTAAAAAGAGAAAGCTGACTGCAGATGCAGTTACAGGTTGGAAATTCACACAGTACTTTACCAACTTTTGTGCACACTACTGTCTTCTCACTTAAATTCAGATTTCTCTGTGGGCTTGGGAACTCTCTACCCAATCCTGACTATTCGAAGTTTCCCCGAGATCCATATATTCCAGAAGATGTCAAAGAAGCCGGCACTGGGGTAGTACTAACTGAGACAAACTGGGAAGCAATGCTCGATAACGCATATGGAGGCATTCCCTGCCCTCCAGGATACTACTGCACGGAAGGGGCAACTGAACCAAGTAATTGCAACAGGGGGTCCTTCAGGCTTGAGAAAGGAGGCCGATGGCCATCTGATTGCTCCTTGTGCCCTGCAGGGTGAGCGAGCAGCCCACGGCTCTCTTAAAGACTTATATTCTATATTAATGCTTTACAGTGCCTTCGCCACCCTTGGTGCTCAATTGTGCATACTTTCTCATAAAATAGGAAGACATCTAAGAATATGGCATTCAAGGTCGCATTTGCCTTGTGCTGAACCGTACTCAGCTACTACTGCACACCCACTGTCGCAATCCCCACACCGTGCCCCAAAGGTCATTATTGCAGCCGTGGCAGCCAAACGCCTACAGCTTGCCCAGAAAGATATTACAATGCTCGCGAAGGACAGTCTAGTTCATCGAGCTGCTTGTTGTGCCCAGCCGGTGAGGCATGGTTCTCGGCCTAGCTTGTGCTTGGAAATTTTGAGAATTTCCCAGATATATTATAATAAATTTTATAATCCTTTGTAGGATGAAAGTTTAGATGAATAGCGTAGTGCTCCACTAACCTGCAATTTACACAACTCAGGAATGACATGTCCCCAAGAGGGCACTAGTGAGCTAACGGATGAAAACCTGTGCCCCGAGGGGCACTACTGCATACAAGGGTCCAGCAAAGCTTTGCCATGCGCTGCTGGCTATCACAACCCTCAAATGGGCTCTCTTAGCTCTTCTGATTGTCGGCCTTGCCCAGGTGAGCTGCCAAGGTAGCTATAGGGATAGATGCTTCAAATGCACTTACAGACTGACTGCTTTTGCACACACTGGCGCATATAGGGATTGACTTGTGCAGGCGGAATCTTTTGCGGAAAACCTGGCACTGCTGACCTTTCAGTGCCCTGCCCCGAGGGGTATTACTGCCCTGCTAAAACCCCAGTGGCGCTGCCTTGTCCGCCGGGCACGTACTGCCCTGCTGGATCAGCTGTGCCAAGCACTTGTCCTGGGGGATCGTTCTGCCCGTTGATGTCTTCGGTCCCTGAGACATGTCCCCAGGGTTTCTACTGCCCATCAGGGGCGACAGCTCCCTACGCGTGCCCAGCAGGAAGCCGAATGAATCCCTATGATATCTTACGTAGCTCTGCCAGCACCGCCTGCGTAGCCTGTGAAGAGGTCAGATTCATGCAAGAAGTTACACTTGAGAACGACCAGTTTGCACAGTGCTGCACGTATGGTTGTGCTAGCACCATCTGTCAATGAGGTTCGGAGTTTCTGGCTTTATATACAGTTTGAGGGCATTCTATGATTGCGGTATAGGGCACCTACAGCGACACCGATGGCAGCCGGGACTGTACGCCGTGTCAGCCTGGCTACATCTGCAAAGTAGGCTGCCAGACCAGGTGAGCCAACATAGTGGGCCTGTAGGTAGGTTTCTTTCATGCTTTTTCCTGTCGCCTTTGACTAAGGTGCTAAACCAACTCAACTGCAAAATCATCAACACGGCATTTAGCTTCGATCTTCTAGACCCCGATATTATGTGGAAATAGGGCAGCATTAACTGTACACTGAAAGCAAAGCTTCTTCTGCAGTATATCAACTCTCGTCACTTTAGACTCTCTGTATGCGTCTCATGCAAGACGAGCAGCTTGCTTAGATGTTGCATGATTGACTTCAGCAAAATTATGCTCAGGCATCAGCAGCAATCTTGCTCATTCAGTGGGGAGTGCATGCATTACTTAGGTATCCAAAGACCTTAGAAGATGACGGCGGGATACCTTGCGCACCTGGTTACTACTGCCCAGAAGGTTCAGCTACCATGGTTCCGTGCCCCGCCGGGACATATAATCCAGATTCTGGAAAAGAAGCCATTGAAAATTGCTTGAAATGCCCTGTATAAGTACACACAGATTTTGCCCTGCAACTACTCCGGTGCTTATCAACGGGCCCTAGCGCCAGAACGCTGCAGTAGAAAGGTCAATGAACTTACGCCCCAATATATATTTGCGAGTGTGGTTTGCTGCTAAATGGACAACTCTTAAAGCAAGGAGTGCTATGCTGTGGCTTCCACAGGTAGGATCTTATACTGACAAAATGGGGCAGGGTAGCTGTACAGCATGCGGTGGCAGCTCGTTTACGGAAGTCGGAGACTTTGAATGCAAATGCTTGGGAGCAAACAGAGTTTACCAGCCAAGCACGGGAGCGTGTATCTGTAAGAACGGCTATGAACATATCATCTCAGGTACATGAAACTCAGTAAACTGTTGCAACTCTTTCGAGTAGCTGCGAATAGAGCATGTCTCCTGTATTCAGTAGCGCGATTCAGTCTAGAATCACAGACCCTTTAGGGCCTATTGCATTGCAGTACATCTATACCTTCAATTTTGAGTGCTCACACTGTCATCCATATTCTGAAGGCACCGACTTTTCGCACGAAGACAGCGAGGAGCCGTGTCTTCCAAAGGTAAGACTGAATAAGATTTGGGTACGCCTGTAGCTGTGGAGGAACTTTTTCTATCCGGCTTCATATTATTTACCCTTCTTTCCTTATATTGCTTCAATGCTCTTGCTGTTTTACTATGGTGTTCAGGAATATCCCGAATGTGGCGGAGGCGCTATACGTACCCATACTGGGCAGTGCCAAAGCACGAACCAGTTCTGTCAAAATTTCTGTGGGCCCAAGGGTGGGTCGTACATTCCAAAAAGCGGCCTGTGCTCATGCAATTTTCTTCCTGCTGTCACTGATGTGTGTGACGAGAATTGCCGAGAGCAACAGCAAACTTTTTCTACTGACGGAAAGGCACTACTTGTCAAAAGTGGCAACGGCAGCATTCGGACAAGCTTCAGCATAGGGGCTCTAAAGGGGCGCTCTGCCGTGCTTTTTGGCCCTCCATCGTGCGATGAAGATTCGTGCCCGGTCATCTTCCTTGCAGCTGCTCAAGGTAACCTGACACAGGCCTCAACGACCCTCAGCAACAGTGACGCACAAGCCTCCATAAGCGCTCCACTGCTGTGTTTGCGTTGTACCCCAGATGGCACCACACGTGGCTACTTCGGAGTACCCGAGGAGCTCCTGGAGGCTATGAGTGAACGATTGTCCTTAAGTGTAGCTGAAAGATCCACGGTGATCAGTATGGACACATCAAAACTGAGACGGCCAGCGCAAAATGTAGCTAAATTTGTTCAAGCTACAAATCAAGTGCCGTTTATCGAAAGTCCTCTGCTATGCACTTTGGTGGGTTCATCTATCCTGTGGCAACTGAGTCCTGGAAGCGAGCCAGTGTACCCCGTGCACATCAACGATTCTCTACTGAACACAAACCCCATCTTCGACGATGGCGAGTTCAAGTAGGTGGTTTCTCTTATCCAATGGGCAATTGTGGCCCATAGCATGGAACTTAGATTTGTAAATGACACATTCATTGAGCTAAGAGAATTTGAAGCACAACGATGTGGGCGTGAATTCAGGAAACTTCAAATAGAAATGGAATCGGGGGCTCCGTTCTTGCTCTTTGGCTATACATTCACAGCTCCAGGAGTTTCTGTGTTTGCAACAAACCGTGGCACTAACCGTATCACCATTATTAATGTCGTAGAGCAAGTGACGCAGTGTGGCCCTATGACTGTCAACCTGCCGCACACAGCAACACACGAATCAATTGCGACACTGCCGCTGAAGCTCCCTGCAGCAGTTCTATATGGACCTCCAGACTGGAACACCATCTATGTTACTTTTCTAATTCTGCTGGTACTTGTACTTGCAATATTACTGGCTCAATACCAAGTGCGCTTAAAGTACTGGACGTTTGCTAATCCTCAAGAAATTGAACATGGAGACCATTCCAAAGAAAGCCTGTAAGTTTAGTCTACACCATTTACGAAAGGCTCCATTTAGAGACAGATGACGCTTTAGAAGTCATGGTGAATCAATGTAATTTGTACTACTGGCAGTGCAAGACAACTTATACCACCCAGACAGAGATATAGGCCGGAAATGAGGGCTTGCGATCTGTCTGCAAAATAACAAGACCACGGAGTTCTGGTGGCCTTGGTTTTACTTCTTCAGACAACAGATTCATCCGAAAAGCTTACATGAAGCCATACTTTGGTGCAAAAGCAAAAAGCACGCAGAAGGCGAGAGCACAATCACTTTTCCCGATTTGGACCCCCGTGCCTTCCAAGCAGTATATTGCAAACTGCTTGAAACAATGGGTACTCTAGGCAGCAAACTACAACTCCTGGGAGCGCACCAGGATACATTGATTGAGCTGGAACTTGATATGGGTGGGCCTTTAAAGTCTGCATTGCTTCCAGTTCTGACTGAGGCATCGGAAAAGAAGGTACTGCTACTACGTCGTACACAATTGAACTATTGCCCCCTAGAGACTGCCATCAGCATCGCCTATCTTCAGGAGTTCATTTGCTTCACGACATGCTATTGGTGACCTCTTGGCTTAGAGCTGCATCTACAGTGAAAAGAAGAGCTACTCACTGTGATTGTGGTCCGCACACGAATTCAAATGACGTGGCCGAATTGCTGGCCAACTAGTCAAACATCAGGTCTTCGGCTTGTTGGCGTGGCCGAATAGGAAATGGCTGAAGTCGAAAATGCGGAGCTAAGCGAAAAGTTGGTTTCTCTGAAAAACGCAATGCTGCTCCGCAAGGGAACGCTCGAAGAAGCTGTACGGAGGGCATGCGAGGCTATGAAGGAGGCCGAAATGGAGCGTATGAAGCCATTGACGCAGGTCCCAATTGTACCTTGTAGGACTAGCTATGTTAATACAGTTGTTTCTCCTATTCGTTGTGATTTACCCATTGGCTTGTACATGTACAGTTCGATAGTGTGCTTGTGCTCTGAGCGTTTTCTAGATACAGCGAAACGACGGCCTCACCTCCTTGACGCTCAACGTACATTTAGGATCTCGTTCAGCTGAGCCAAACGCTCATGATACGTCCCCAAGATTTCATGAAATTGCTGATGTCACTGCAGAATCATTTGCAGCTGCGCTCGGAGTAGAGCAGAGTGCTGCAACAACACAAGCACTGCATCACCTAAAAGCAGTGGAAGCGGCAAAACAGGTGCCGGGAAAGTTGGAGGTCCAGCTTACTGGAGTACTGTACCATACACCTGGTGATCTGCCAGCATACGAGAATAGTCTTCAAGAAACGCTCAAGGTAAATCTTTGTTTGTTTAGCCTGTTTATACGGATTTCTCTATACCTTCATCCCAACGAAAATTTAAATTTAATGGTTAATGGGGCTCGGGGTGCTGGCTTTTTACACGTCCTACCTGGATCACTAGTATACGTTTTTCACGTCATGAGACTGTTCTCAGGCAGCCAGTATTTGCATTTCTGCTACCGATGGGCTAAAACCAGAAGTGAGCGAGCTTGCATTAATAGTGCTCTACGTGTAACGCATTTCGTGCAATAACCAAGTGGTTGTGGCCCTGCTCTTTCTTGCGGTTAGGCGACTTTGGCCTCGACACGCAGCGAGCTCTGTGAGAGAAGACGCTTTATTGAGAATGCGCTGGGAACGCTTGTGGATAAAAGCAACGCAATCGCTGCCCACGAGGTTCGGCGATTCTTGCTTGGTCCTTGTGCAACCTTCAGACCAGATAGACAAAGCCCGTAACTCAAAACCAAGGGTTGAATGTCCTCCAAAACATACAGTATCGTTACCAGCATTCATCAAATCTTGATTTTCAACCAACGAGCAAAGTACAAAGGGCACTTGTACAAGTATGAAGCACTGTGAAACTGTTTGTGATTTCCCAAGCAAAAAGAAATGGACTCACTGCTGCTACAGCAGTTTGGACAAATAAGCAATGGCCTGGCAACGCTCCAAGAAGGAATATTTACTCTTTTTTGTAATACAAGGAAAAGCTACGAAAAAGCCTTGTCTATGAGAAATATCACCACGCTTCCAATAATCCAGAAACAGTTCGTGGATACTGCTGAAAGCATGTATAAGGTTAGATGTGATGGTGTGGCCTGCTGGTGACTGGGTGGCTCCCGTTGCTAGTCCGGGATTTTTCCATCTCAAAGCTGCCTTTTACAGCTTTCTAGTAAATAAAAGCAGCCTGATTGACTCTAAGACACCTTTCTGATCGTTTTGTTGAGAAGCTGTCCTTCTAGCCTCTACTTGATATTATCAGGAATTCGCGGAAAAAGAGAAAGCAGCCGAACAAGAAGTAGAAGCGATGTTACGTCAGCGAACGACTGTGATTAAGCATTCTGTTGAGGACCTGGTGGCCCAGTGCCGAAAGTCCGTAGAAGAAGGCAAACAAGTGAGGACTGATGTCGTCTGGTTGAAAAGGTGCCCATGGGTACCACACCGAAGCATACTTCGACTGTAAAGGAATCCTAGTATGCAGTAGCCGCCGTATTGATTATTACTACATTCAGGATCTTGCAAATGTAGAGCAGAGTATTTACTTCCAATGCGAAGCTGCCCAAGCGGCTAACCAAACAGCCTACCATTCTGCCCTTGCCCAAATAAATCAAGAGCAGCTAGCTTACAGGTAAAGCATGCAGACACATTGTAGCGCTGAGACTCCTCATGGTTATTATTCGTATATGGCTGTTCATAAGTGGCTGCCTGCAAGCTACCACACCAATTAGAATATAGACGAATAGCTGCTCTGTTTTGTTTGGGATCCCGAGGAATCCTTACAAGGCCCTCCTCATGTTGAGCCTGCAGATACGAGCTGGAACGACGGCTTATGGTAGAACGAGCAAGGAACGACTGCCTGAGTCGTTCGTATCTAGCGAGTGATTCAGCTGATGAGCTATCTGAAGAATGTCAAGCTGAAACTGATCCAGTGAGTCCTGGTGCCGATTGTAAATGCCCTTAGGTAAAGTACATGCCAGTCGTTAGATCGCATGGTAGTGCCACATCTGACGCGTCTGTCCCAATTGCAGCAACTAAAGAGAGTTACCCTCGAGCAACAAACTGCACAAGCTGACCTTAAAGCCACATTAAACAAGAGTTGCGCCCTGTGCCTGCAACTGACTGGAAAACGGTTTAGCATAGCAAAAGCAATCGCACAGGCGGAACACAACAGCGCTGTCCTGAGCTACGACCTAAAGCTGAAAATAGTCTCCAGCGAGCTCACTTGCCTTTTAAATGCTCAAACCAAGCTGGAAAAGACTAGGCACCAGGTAAGCTTTTGATGTGCATGCTGGATTGCCCTCTTAGACTCTACTGCTTACTAGGGTCTAGCTGCATATGTATTGTGACACCATTTTGGAAACCAGTTGAACATGTGTAACATCCGTCTGTAGCACTTAAGACGCTTCCGTGCTCGGATAATGATTGAGATTGAAGATTACCTAGCGAAGTTGAAGGTGAGCTGCAGGACGCTTGGTCCTCTTCGCAGTTATCCGTTTGTTATTTCACCTAAAGGGAAATTGCTGTGGAGCACCCTCATGTTTTAAACAATCACGGCAGTGATGAAACGGTATTGAAGTTCGCTGCCCTCATCATTTTGACCAGATTCTTCTGGAAACGTCAGATCCGGTTACAGTTGCAATCGAGCTACAGCAGTGCCTCGACGTGCTCAATAGAAACACTCGAGCTACATATGGGACACTCGCTCATGCATTAACTTTAGCCCATGATGAAGCATACATCAAAGCGATCGAAGAGGTCAGGAATTGTCGTACGTCTCTCCTACGGTCCGCCGAGCTGGAGGAAGAGGAGTTTACTCGAATTATCGATTTTTTGAGAGCGCAGCAGCAACAGTAAGTCGAAACACCGGCATGAGATTAATATGAACCATGCAACACGTTCCAGCAAAATGATTGTATGCTTGCTCCACGCCTGCATACGTGAGTCAATAGTAGCGCAGCCTCCTCGATTAGAGAAAAGACGCCCCACAGGCCAACTTTGTGCATGCAAATCCTGCTGATTGCAGGGTTCTGAATGAGTACGAGGAGTGGCAAGGCTCCTTTAGCACCAAAATTTCTGTACAAAACCTAGAGGTCGCAACTGGAATAAATGCTGCTCACGACAACTTGTTTATTGAACGAATAAGGCACCAATTTATTGAGGATGAGCGTGATCGCCTTGTGTCTCAAATAGCATATGTAAGAGCTTGATTAAAGCAGCGGCATTACAAGGCACAACAAATTTCCTTAAGAATCCGGTGGCATCATAATGTGAAAGCTTTTTGTTTTAGCTTCTGCCACATACTTTCGAATTTGGATTGTTTCAGGCAAAGGCAGAACCATCATGGCTTTGGACGGAAGCAGAGCTAGCAAACGCCATCGAATCATTGAATGTAGGTTGATTGCACGTGCCATTCCAATAGAAAGTCTGTTAAGCCGCTAAAATGGCTTGAGCATAGTAGCACACTCTAGTATGGATTGTGCTGCATAGGCTGAATCTTCAAGGCAGGTACAGGATATGGATGCACTGATGCTCGAACAAAGCAAGTTCAGGGAGGCCGAGCACGCAAAACGATGTGAACACAGGAAGCAACTGCTACTGAATCGTATCAGCGTCGAGCAACAGGCACGGAAGCAATGCGTCTTGTGGACAGAACGGCAGGTGCGTTCGGAATATGAACCTGGATGCGGCTGACACTGCCAGTGCAGTCCTGAGCCGTTCACACAGACGCAGGCAACGTTTCACCACGCACCAAAGTGGCCCTGTGCATGTTGTCAACTCAGCTTTGCTGATAAGTAGGCTTTGAATGCGTTGGTTGTCTTTGTCGCAGTACATCGCAAAACGCAATGCCGTAAACCGGCAGCATTCCGAGATGCACCTGCTGACTTGCCAAATAAGTGATCAGCAATTTTTCGTGCTACTTAATAAGCTGCGTCAAAAATGGTCCGATGAGGTTTCGACAATTGATTTCGCCGATAACTTAACAGCTAAGAGGTCAAAGGAACAGGAAAATGCATTCTGCTACATGCTGGCCAGACTCTCACCAGTAATTGCTCCACCCTTAGTGCCAATCCATGAACGTCAAGCTCTTCTAGAGAGCAGTATTGCGCAATGGGCAGAATTTGTCCATGCACTTGTAAATACCTGGTCGAAGCAGCTTGAAGACTCTTTGCTCCAAACTTCCACGCGCCGAGAGAAGTTACAGCTGGTATGCAAATGTCGTCAAGTGCGTATGAGCATTAGAAAAAATCGCGGCCTGAAAGTCACCAGAGCAAAACCTGCTGTGTTGATTTTGTTCCTTCCTTTAGGCAGATGAAACGTTCCGTGGCAGCTTTCCACAAGAATGGGAAGCCGAATGGATGGCTGCTACTTTACATCAACGAGCAGTGATGAAACTGTTTCTTGGTGCAACAAGTAGCAGGGAACCTCGGTGGGCCTTTTTAACTTACCAAGTTAAGAAATGTGTGCACGAGCGCTGGTGGAAATGGATTTCTTGTTTTCTCAACAACTTTTAGACACGTAAGGTACCACCTCCAGCATGAAATGTGCAGTAGGAGCGCCTGTAACTCACGATAACCTGCAGGTGGCACGCTAGGGAGTACTACGAGTCTACAGAGGAGACCAACAGTGATCGCATTCATGAGCTCAAGCAAAAGCAGGCAGAAGAACTCTCGGCAATTCAATACAAGATAAATGTATCTTTAAAGCCCACCACGAGGCTGCACATCGTTGTGAACCTGCGTAACTACTAACTTGTGCACAGAGTGGCTGATTCTCTGGAGCGTGTTTTTTTGATGCACATGAAAACATACGGCGCAATCAAGTCGCGCGATGTCTTTTATTGCAGGAAGCTGAAAAAGAGAGATCATTGAATACGCATCCCTTGAGAGATAAGTTATTGGCCCTCAGGAAACAGGCAGTAAGCTACTCAGCTTTAACTGAGACTGGTTTGGATTGCTAATATGCATGTACGTACCGTTACGCACAACTTGCTAGCAGAGCATACACCATCCTGAAGTATCGCATGGCTGCGAATGTCATTGCGTTTTTAGGAAAATGCCTGTGAAGATATTGGTACAAACTTTAAGAGCAGCAGAGCTCACTAGCCAGTGATACTCTTGCCACCACCCTCTTCAGAAAGCTCAAAGCCACATCTGAAAACCCCGAGTCTCTGGGTTCATATGTTGAATTTCTCAGAGGCACTGAATACGATTGAAAAGGAGGCTGACCCTATAGAAAAGCAAATAACCCTTTTAGAGGTACGATCTTGACGAATCTTTTTACTCTCAGACAAGCAGATAGTCTAGGAAGCCGAATTAATTCATAACTACATACAATATTACGATAAGGTGGAAGCCCTGTCGAAGCAGCAGTTTGATAATTGTTGCCACAGCACTACATGGTGTCGCTACTTTCTGTGGCTAAGCAAGTAACCGTATAGATTTCATTCGCTAAAATCTCGATTCGACTCTGCTTCAAAACCACTGTAGCCATCTTGAGCTCGTTTAGAGCTATTGATCCAATGGCTACACTGTAAAAAGCTTTCCTAAGCCTGCGTGCAAGCGGTAGGTTTGCTCCCCAGCCAAGTGCCAACGATACTTTGAGGTAGTGCAGCCAAATAGAGACGTCGACGGTCACTGTTGTGTGCTTGGTGACCAAAGGATGCCTCTAAGCTCCAGGTGAAGGCCGCAACTGACGACAGGCGACAGCGTATATTGTCTCATTGCACCGAACGCATTGAACAAGAACTTCAAAACCAACGGCTGCTGCTAGAGACTCAGTGGAAAGTAGGCCTGGTAGACGCACACAAAAGCCCAGCTACCATGTGATGGAAACACCGTTTTGCACAGAGGTCCTTCGTGTGTGGCCAATTACTTATGTGCCTGTAGCTATCGAGGATTGAGATATTTGAAGAACTACAGGGCGATCAGCCGGAATTTTTTGACAGAACCGAATTTAAGAAAGAGGTTCAATTCCATCTTAACCCCAATCTTAATCTAAGAAGCGCCAACTGCTGATTCACCGACTGATGAGAAGCATGCCCAAGATGGTCTTCACAAAAGAAAACTTCAGCTATTTTTAAACAGTGTCATGCAGTGTTATTGGGCCTTTATATGCTCACCGCTAATGCAACTTATCGTGCTCGTGGTAGTTACAAAAAGTTGATACACTTCGCAATGCCCTACCTGCAGTTACTACTTAGCTTTCACAAAGCTGAGCTTGAAGACCTGCAGCAGCTGCATAATCTTCATCATGTTCTGCTGACGGAATACATACGCCGCGAAGCACAGCAGAAGACAGAAGATAAGCTTCAGTGAGGAACCTATGTCTGCGTAGCTGAGCATCGGCATGGAAACTGCCTGCCGCTAAACACTCTTATGTGAGGCGAATGATTCTTTGGCTGTGTTCTGCATACTCAAATGCATCGTGCGTTGCGGTTTTCCTTCAAACGAAAGCTTCGGCAAAGAATCGCGTACTGATGAACTTGCTGCGGTTGCAAGGCAACAGATGTCGGAGGATGCTCGTGTACGAAAAAGGGGTAACCCCAAGCCAAGTTAAATGTGTGATTCCAGATTAATCTCCGTTGATCAGTCTTCTCTTCTCAGGAGCCACATGTGTGACTGCGACTTTGTTCCTATGGTCGTCTGTGCTTTGTATATAGCATCAAATCGAAAAACTTACATCCTCAAGACTAGCACAGGTGATATTCGAGCTCATCACTACATCGATAAGCAAATGAATTGCAATACCCCAAAGAGTAGTAGTAACTCCCTAGACACCTGAGAGAACATCTGACTGCAGTTTCCTGATGCACTACAGGTGATGATAGATGGAGGGAGAGAAATAGAGCACTTGAAGGAGAGGCATCAATCAGAGCTTGCTCAGGTTAGTTGCAACAGGACTCATGTGGCCTCAAAGGTGTCAAAGTGCTCCACAGTTTTTTACAAAGTGGATGGAAACACATAGTGGATTTGTGAGCTTCTATGTCAACACAGCTGGTGATCGACGGCAACACTAACACAAGCGAACAAGCCACAACCCAAAAGGTGATGAAAGTATCCGCATATACTAAAGCAGGTCATTCTGCTTTATCCGTTTCATACCTAAGGGAGCTAGCTGCACAAGGCAAGAGATTCTAACGTTGAGCAATGACGGTACACAGAATTAAGCTGCCATGAGCATTCTGTGTGCACGGTACACCAGACGCCTCAACGGACACCGGTGAAGCCGGCTGCATGTCAAGACATCGGGACATGCTCCACACTTCGCATAGTTGCATCTGACCCACATCCCGCTGGTACCCCCTCAAAAGATATTCCACAAAAGCTTGTTGCAGAATGGCAAAGTCGGATAAGGTCTGGAAGCCGGGCAAGTACTCTACTTGCTAATGGAAGTGAATGGCGAAAAAGCGCCAATGCATTCTCCACACATTTGGATAGGTTTATCAATGCAATAACACAGGCTCAGAGGGAGGAAAAAGATCGCCAGCGTTTAGTCATGAAGCGGAAAGCGGGAAAACGTACTGAGCGACGCCAGGGCAAGGGCACATGTGGCATCCGGAATAGTCCGGCTGCGGGGATAAAAGCTCTAGTAAGAGTGCAATCCTGTAGTAACGGTCCAAATAATGCTTGGCATTGGAACAGCCTATACAATTGTGTGAAGTGACACTATTACTTCATCCTAACGGTGCTCTGCTGGATTTACTGGCAAAGAACACATCTTCTAAATCACAGAGCTTTGTTTCTTGCGATGTGACTTACCTGTGTGTTTGTCTCTAGAAATCCCGGAAGAAGTTAGCGAAACTGAGCATAGGCTACCCGCAGTCATCACCGCAAAAGGAAAACCAGGCGAAGTGTGTCACAATCTCCCTTTTCGCATGCGGAAAGCTGCACAAACCGCCTGATGTGCCTAGCAATATCCTTGCCGGAGATTTTGAATGGGGTTGCAGTGCATGTTGTCACTCTTGTAGGGCATGGAAGATGGGAAGAAAAGAGTTACTAGACATGAGCCACCCTATAATCTGGAAGATCGTTGAAGAAGAAGCTGATAATGGGTCATACGAACTATATGAGAGGTCCACAAGCATTACTGGTAGGCTTGTAGGCTTGTACGCAGTATCTGCGGAAAGGCAATGAACTAGCCTCCATATTTTGGAGCCCATGGAAGAAACCAACAGCTTTGCTCTGCCAAGTACAGTGTGGGATCTTTGGAGCGACAGCTTACCTTGCATTTGTGTTCGCAGCACGTGGGCCCACCTTGTCAAGCATCGAATGTATCATCGAGTCGCTCGCTGAGGGCTCATTCCTGCGGACAACACTTGCGAATCTAAAACTACTGGCGCAAGCCTGTAGCAGTATGCAAGCCGCTTCCAGCAACCTGTCTCTTCAGAGTAGGGGCACAGAAGAGGCAGCCAGTAGCTACAACAGTGATGGAAAAAGTACAGCGAACTCGTCACAGGACTTTGCAGTACTGCAGCAAAGTAGCGCATCCAGCAGAAGCGATACTAGCCACCGAGAAGGAACCAGCAGTCAGAAAAGCAGTACAGAGGAAACCAGCAATACCGAAACGAGTAGCAGCGACGAGACAGACTCTAGCGAAGAATATGTCAGCAGAACGGCATCCCAGACCTCCTCAGAAACGATAGTGACGTCAATCAGGAAGTCTTCAAACCCGTCAACTTTGCATGCCCAGTCTTTTGAGAGCCGGTCTAGTAGTGGTTCCTACAGTGCTCCCCCTAAGTTGATTGCAGGCTCCAAGCCTATGGCAAAAAATTGCTCGCTGCTTGATCGCCTTACATCTGGAGAGCGTGTGGCCGAAAGCACGAGCGAATCCGGCGAAGAGGTCAGCATGAGCAATAACCGGGCTATTAGAGAGAGCATGAGCGGAACTAGTGCTAGCAAGAGCAGCGGGAGTAGCAGCAGCAGTAGCAGCCGGACGAGCGAAGGCACGAGAGGTCAAAGTAGACGCGAAGACATTCGCAGTCGTGGCAATCATAACATGGTGACTACGCTCAACAATGGGCTCACGCCCATACAAGGAAGCTTTTCTCAGCATCATTCCAGCAGACAATCGTCCAGCGGCACCACAAGCAGCTTCTCTGCTACCAACTCATCAAATGACTGCAGTAGCTCATCGTCATCAGCAAGCTGCTCTCCAGTAGATCAGGCTTCTGTTCAGCTGGAAACCCAGCAGAATCGAATACGCCACTCAAACAGCAACTCCTCAGAAAGTGCAGAGAGTTGCTCCATTAGTAGCTCATCAGGCATTCCTAATGGGGGTACAAACAGTCGTAGCACACTGTGAGGTGGCCAAAGCTACTGACGCTTCTCTTTCTGTGCCTGGAGCATTTAAGTAAGATCGCTTTTTTGAGCTATTTTTGTCAAGATGTCCTGGATCAAACAGCTTATCTGCTCCATTAGCGCCAAATAGCAGGAGCATGCACTTCACACGCCCAAGGCGGTGTGCCGCCACGGTTCCTCACAGAATCATCTTTACAGGGTGAATCTTTAGGCGAAACGTTGGCGTTTATTTTTTACCATTGCCGCAAGCGCTCTTGTCACTTTTGACCAGCTATCTGCGTCAAAGGTTGCTGCACCGTAAACTCTTTGATTCTGTGAGTTTCACCATTCAGTTGCTCGTCCACAACTTTTTATATCCAAATATGCGTCATTTTTAAGTGCTGTGCATACTTTTGTACGCTCCGAAAGTGCCATGCAGATCACACATGTCGTCATGCGGCGCATTTACCCTTTGTGATGGACAAGGATGCTTGTCAGGATAGTTCAGCATTGTGTATACGCTGGGATTCTTACAAAAATTTATTTATAGAATTTTATTGTGATTCCTAAGAACGTATCTTCAGCTACCCCTCTCCATATAGACTATACCAAGACCCAAATGTTGTAAATGTGAGCAAAAAGAGTTATCTGATGGCATGCCACATGCGGGCACAGGCCAGCTAGTGCCAGGCTATCGCTTCCATTTTCAGGCTTTTACATGCGCTGCATTGTGATATGTAATCCCATGGAGGGGTCTTCAGCCACAACCACGCATTTCATTGGCTGTCGCACCACTTAAGGAATGAGTCGCATGCACCACTCCATCTCTTTATACATCACTTGAACTGTTCAGCTCCTGAGTCTTTGATCGCTAGCTGCTCTAGATACTTTAATTTCTCTAGCGGAGGTGCGTTGGGTGCGAAATCCTTGCTGGACCAGAATAGGCGATTATTAGTGCTCTATATATGAAAGGAAAGCGACAAAAGTTTCATCAGTCATTCTCGTGTGTCGGATTTGTGCAATACTTTTCGCAAGGTCACTTGGCCATACAGCAGCGGCCACTTTTATACCCCCCAACGGTCCCCAAACCCTCGGTACAATAGTGGTAGGCACAAAGTCACAGGTAAAACATAAATTAGCATTAAGCAGTGAAAAAATGTTATTGCGAATTCTTTACAGAGACTTTTTAGCCTCCGGGGTTGTGTATCCCGCTGTACCACGAAGAAAGCCCCGCAAAAGTGGGCAGAGCATACAAATACAAGCACCCGTCTTTAGCTCACACAAATTTCTGTTTTGAATAACGGCAGTGCATAGTAATGATACTAATCTACCATCTATATAGTGCTACAACACTGCAGCGGCGGTCAAAGTTTTTGCTGGTGGAAGGACAGTAGCAACGGGTTCCCAAATTAACAAGTTTGTGCAAAGAAAGACTCCATATTAGCCCTGACGAGCGAACGATTCCTTTAATACTATTTTATAGCCTGATACGTGGGATGGCTCAATTTTGGGTTTGTAGTTACCCAGGCTACATGGGGACTAAGAGGTACGCCTCCTTTCGTGGCCCCAGCCCCAAGAAAGTGCCCTATTTTGCATAAAGAACCGCCATACACCGGGAGTTAGTGATAGCTTTGTCGCTGATATATATACGCCTAACAGTGCACCCACTGAAAACTCTCGGCTAGCAGGCGAGCGCTGTTGCTGCCATGCCAGCTTGCGCAGCTGGCTAGCTGGAACCTAATCTCCACATGAATTATGAATTGCGTTCCTTAGAGTGGATGCAATATACGCTTTTTGACTCCAGTAATGTTATTCCTGCGTAGTCATCATGACTGTAAGCTAGAAACTTCAGAGCTTCCACAGACACTGTACTTATCTAAAACAATTAGCCATTATACATTGTACGCGAGTTGCATGCTTTCAGGAATTAATGCACTGAAAAATTAAACATTAAAAATAATCGATTTTGCCTCGAAAAGCGTTGCATGCCTGCATTTCATGTCCAGTAGTCATGTGATGCTCAGGAAGCTGGGCGGAAATTGATTGCTGCAGCTCGCGATGGCAAGGTCCGTGACTGCAAGGAGCTCATGAAACTTCTCCCGTCTCTTGATTTTGCAGAGCCCCCAGTATGTTATACCACTCTTGATGTATCAGGAGTGTCTAAATAGGTCACAGTGTATTTCAATTAATAGAAGTTTGTGCTGGGGAGTATGCATTAAATTAGCAAATAATACTGTTGCAGAACTGATCCTTCTTCCCTGAACGACTTACGCAGAATCCTCCAGCTCATCAGTAGCATCGGTACAACCTATTTCTCACAAATGATTGTAGCCGCAAACGCGTTAATGTAGTGTTTCCTGTTTGCAGTATTTTCGTACCGCGCTGTGGCATGCCGCTTGTCGTGGCCACGAGGAGGTTGCCCGCCTTCTGTTGGATCACGGAGCCAGCGCTAACCACCAGGATATTCGCGGCTCAACAGCTCTACACGAAGCCTCTGTTCATGGGCATCGGCAGATTACCGAGCTTCTCATTGAACGAGGAGCAAGCGTTGACGTTCCCGACTGTGTGAGTCAGTTGTTAGTCTAGGCAGCCTTTCAGGGCTCTCTCAGGTTCTTACTATTCTATTGTGCGGTGAACGAGGGCCGTGTATGGAGGTGCAGTGCACATCATACAGCTGAGGGTTGACAAGCACGATGGAGCTTGCAGAGCTCTAAGAAACAATGTTTTAAGCGGCGGTCCCACCGTCCATAGCTTTCTATGGCATGGTCAGGGTGGCATTAAGCATCTGTGACAGTACAAAGGCCCACAGACTACACTCCTCTAAAGCAAGTGTTGAAAAACGACATTCCACAGTATGCAAATTATCCATCTTACCAAGTAGTTTATATTGATAGACGGGGCTTCAGTGATTAGATAGGGGCTGGATGCACAGTAACGGGCATTGGAGTCGCTCAACACAGAATTGCCCTTTGGAGTACACAGCACGGTTAGTGGCGTCAAGTATTCTGCAGGCCGGTGAAACACCGTTGTTTCTCGCAGTTTATGCGAAGCATATGGAAGTAAGCTAAAGCTGCTTGTGCTCCTCCCTGCAGTCCAGGCTCACATCTAAATAAGATTTTTATAGCGGCTTAAAGCAGCATGCAGGGACTTTCAGAAACTTCTTTGTTTACTGTACTGGTTCCTATGTAGTAGCAGTTTTGAAATCGAAGTTCCTGACTGGAAATGTATGTGCGCATATGCCAATAGATCATAGCGTTGCTTCTTAGCAAGGGAGCAACGATGAACCGAGAAAACAACGTACGATATGCATGCAGTTCCCATTCTTCACATAGGGCCAGCACCGCATTCAGGCTCCACACTTCGCAGACGACGATACGGCTTAATACCAGAGTGTGGCAGGAAAAGCTAATGTTGTATTCCCTATGTGGCTCTAATACAACCAGTTCATGAGTCATGTGCGTGCTATTCAAACGGTGAAAATCAGGTGGGACTGACCTGCTACCACGTTGCAGCCTATGCAGCCTCTCCTGGGCTCGCTTCGTTTCTGCTCTACAGAGGCGTATATGCCAACAGATTCAGTACTCAGCAGCATAGCAAGCATCTTGAGGCTATGCAAAAGCGTTTGGAGCAGCACACAGCCACCAGCGTGAGCACGGAAAAGGCCGTGCAACCAAACGAAGCAAGCGAAGAAGGTACCTGTGCCGTCAGCAGCCCCCACAGTACTTCAGGAGTTGGGTGTGTCATTGAATTTAATGAATCCTACAATTCACAACAAGGTCCAATGCATGGCGATCAAGAGAGCGCCGCCTCGAAGCTTGACGAAAGCATGTTAATGGGTGTATGACTACGTGATCTACGGAGAAAGCCCCTTAAGTGCTGATCCCACAGGCACCTCAGTGGGACAGGCGTAAAATTGAACCCTGTGGGCCTGCATTATTATTCAATAGATAGCAAGCCTTGTTTGCACTGAGCAGAACAAGTATTACTCCGTCAGAACAAAGAATGGACATATTCACCGGAACACCGTCCTCCACTTATGCAATATATACGGCTGCGCAGCTGAGTTCAGTGGAACTTCCCCTTAAAGCTCTGTGAGCAGATCACCCTTTTAGTCGAAGTTTCCTGAGCAGGGTTCTAGGCAAGATCAACATAAAGAGACTCGACATATACTCGGCTGTACAAACAATTTGTTTGATGGCTAAGTATGCGATCAACCAACTTTCCCCAAACAGTAGCATTCAGGCTCGTTATCCTTGATTATGAATGAATATGCTTCTGAGAGGATACCAATCAGGTAGACCCTCGTCGGGTACTTGCCAGTGTAACACAAGCGTACCGACAAAAGATCTTCATTTCCTGCATTGCTGTAGGATGGTCTATCCCATTATTAGGTAAACTGTAGAATGAATAGCAATTCTGAGAGGTAGACCTTCCAGCCTGCGAATTTCTGGTTTGCATATCCATTCTTTAAAGCCCTAAGAGCTCTTTAGCATAATTTAGCGTCCTTGGCAAAGCCTGCAAGTTTTCTCAGTCACTCTGCAACGTATTGACAGCAAGTGCTTTGGCTATACACATCAGGTTCCGGTGCGTAACACCGTTTACCTCAAGGGTCTTCATTCAAATCAAGCTCACTACGTGGCACGCGTTTGGCGCGTAGCCATTGCGTCTCCTTTGACCACTTTGTGGTCCTGACGCTCTATAACTCCACCACAATTCACACTTTTTATTTAAACGCGATATTGCTCTGCTTTCAGAGATGTGCCGTTTCTACTGCATTCCACCCGGCTCTGTAAACAAAAGAAACGTTTTTCCTGTATAAGCTTCGTTTCTTTAGAAGGATTTCTTCCCTACCGCATCAAGCACTTCAACTTATTAGTTTTCTGGGGACGCTAGTATTACCTAAGAGTTTCGCCCCTCTTTGTGTGCGTTATTCGACCAGTGACAAGGCCAAAATATCATGTCGCCCTCTGCTACCATCTGTTCTTGAAACACTTGCTGTCACGTACGCTGCTTAATGGGCATGAGCTCCATTGAAGATGCACGTTGCGATGGGCATGCAGTTTTTGCATAATTTCAAGCTGCTTATCTGTACATAAAGCAACATAAATAAAATACATGGGCAATGAGTGATTGTCAATAATCCAATAGTTCAGAGATCCATGAAAAATGAAAGGCAAAAATTAGAAGCTTTAGACTTCACTATTTCTCATTTTCGAGACACTGCTGGCTTTGAGTTTTTGCAAGCGTCGTATATCCAGTCCCCATTAATGGAACAGCTTTATCAACACCCTTCTCGTGGTCTTTAGCACTCAGGACACCCACTTTACATATGATGGTGGTTCTGGGCAAGCTCTGGGTGCAGTGACAAACGGTTAGTGCATATACGCAAAGCAAGGTGTTTACCGCCCTTCTATATAAGCCATCAAACTTCCATTCTTTGCGAAAGAATTTGTTGATGTGATACAGCTTTGTTGGCTCACGAAGTGCCCAGGAACTTTGGTTTCCACTGCAACAATCACGACTGACGGGTAGCACGAGCAATGCGCGGATCCGGTGAACACTAGACCTAAAGCTGCAGCCGTTGAGGCATTTCCACCCCTACCCCGGCCCCAAGAATATATCTTAACATGCTAGTAGGACTCCTTAACAGCACTCAACCTAAATGCCCTATCTTCATAATCCTTTTCATCGAATTATAGCAAAGTGTCATCAAGGACGACCACACAACTCCTTAACTATGCGATACAATATGGGATGTGGGCTGTACCAGAAGAGGACTGAAGTAAATGTTTTGAGCCGAAAAAAAGGGTTCTGTGATCTTCCAGCCATAAGTGAAGCAGCTCGTTGTAGAGCTAGACAACTGTCCCTAGTCCACGGCGTCGGTGCGCCGTCAGCTATGCACTACCGCCACGGGTTTTCATTGCAAGTTGTGCAGTCGGGCGCGCTATACTCTTTTTGTCATCTTTACCACTACAAGAGGACATCTTAAGACGAGTTTGGAAATAGCCGGGCCTGGCACAGCACTAACTTCAAGAAGCAGTCTAAGGATTAATACTCAAAGCAGCAGTACACAAGACAATGCGCTATGATAAATGGTGCACAATCCACACTGTATGTGCCATTAACATATTCAGCTCGGGGCATTACCATGGACCACGGCAAAAAGAATCTTAGAGGATAAACAACAGCTGTACAAGACACTGCAGAGAGCAATGCATCAAAGCCATTATGCCTAGGGCGTCGTTAGGAGCAAAACCCCTGCAAGCCGGTCGCTTGGTGGCAAGGCAGACTGCCCACTGGGTACAAAACCTTCAGTGACCTTGAAATTTCAAGATTCTCATGTCCAGTAATACGACGAACATTTAACTATATTTTTTTCCCATTCTTCTAGAGGGGTTTAGCCGATATAGAATAGAATTAGGTTTTTCTCATTAGGTTCTAGAATGGGCAATGCAGTCCCCTTGCGATACCGCAGTTCAAACACTAAAACCAAAAGATTCGTAGTGAGCGAGACGCGCTTAAGGCCTTAGGACAGTGGAATTATATGCTACCCACGAAGGACATGGAAACTCGACCCACCCTCTCGTGTGCTTGCCCTACCACATCGTGCATCAAGATGACTTCATTGAATGCATATCAGTAACAGCTCTACACTCAGCAGGTTATCACTGGAAGCAAGAACATGTAGTTTGTTTTCGTGGGCTTAAGTAGGTAAAGGGACCGGAGCTCCTTCCGTGTCTTGGCGGAGTCACTATGGGCCTTCTTGATCCTTAAGGCCCCAAAACTTAATGAGTTTGTAAATAGCTGCTCACGGTAACTCTCATACTAGGGCATCCAAACATAGACCTCTAGGTTCAAAAGCTAGATCAAAAACCATAACAAAATAAGTTTACCTTCACGTTACCCTCACGTCGGACAGTTTTCGTTTGCGAGGAAGGGAAGCTGGGGTTGCACTAGCAGCGCCGTCTGAGCACCCCGAGCCTTCGCACGCAATGACTGAGGACAGAGCGTGGCAGCATGCATTCTAGTGATAAGGAGCTATCCCAATTTATACATAATAAGAGAGCAGCCAGACCAGAGAGCCATTACTAAGCAAAACATGCAAATACAGTTAGTGTATCAATTAGGGTTAAGGCGCTTCGGGCATAGCTGGAATGTAGAATGGCTGGTCTCATGTTCTTCTTGCTACACAGTAAGTTTTTTTAAGATTCAATATTGTGCGTTGTGAAGGAGAACGTAAGTGTTCGGATGGCACAGCGTGGGGATTAGTTGCACACCTGGCATGAATCCTACCTGTAAGACAGGGACCCTTTGTGTTAACGGCAGGAGGTGTAAACACCTTTGATGGAATTATAGGTTTTCAAGGTTTGCCTGTGTTTTGCACGTGAGTCCCCCTTTGGGGGCCCGATGCAGAGTGCTTGTAAGGCCATGTCTACAATTTTGATGAATTGCAATGTAACTCTATTGCTGAAGCACGAATCACCTGCTATTTAGTACATATCTTTTGATTTCGATCTTAACAGGTCCTCGGAAGGTATAAGAAACCTCTGCTGCGATCAGTAAAGCACGCGACCGTTGTTACACCTCAGTTCAGTGCAATTTACCCTCTGTGAGAGGTGCATAGCCCCATGCTGTTGCTTAGAAATAAAACCACTATTTTCCCTGCATTTGGCTATATTCTACACAGCTGCAACATTGTTAACAAGTCATTCCCTCGGAAAAGTCATCCTTAGCTTAGGCGTTCCCTGTGCATCTTTGCATGCAGCCCTGTGGTGGGATTGTCGCTTCCAGCTCCCTGTTGTGCATACCACTCAGTTACGGCACTTTGAGTAATTCAACGTGATCCATACTTGCAAAGAACCTTCAATCTTTAGCTGTAGAATACGGCTGACACCTTATTTCGCTTTAGCCAAACTGCAAGCATGCTCAGAGTACACCAACGGTGACTTCAATCATAATTTCGTGTTACGCAGTGCCCCAAGTTCATATAATCCGCCAGAACTATCCCCCAAAATACCAGCGCCCCGTCCTACAGCTTGAGTATCAATGGTAGGTTTGCGGCAATCAGTAATATCCATTCTGGTTGATTGAGAGCTTATGGTTGAGTCCATTGGCGATTTATTTCAGGGTAAAATTAATTTAACTTTCTTCTCCCTCACTTCTGCTTTCACAACAGCCATTTGCATGCACTTCCATGAAGAGGACTCTCCAGCCTCTCCCTCGCCAAGATTATCCATCCTACTTAACCCCATATTACTGCAAGCGGAAAAAACATGCAGATTGAGTCAAAACTGGCACTAACTTTAATCACCAAGATTTTAATGCCTCAATGGAGCCTGACAATACTTATCCACACATGAGCTTGCAACGTTGGCTCCCATTCTGAGGAATGCATGGAAAACTAAAGATCGTATCTGAAAGTTCAGATTGGGTGGGACGCGCACACGCGACCTCGAAGTCTGCGTTGAACAGTCGTTCCACGTGCCGAAACAGCGAGTCAATAGTTCGCGTAAGCCCATATTGCGGCAGAGCGGTGAGCTACAAATGTGGAAAGCCATTCTTTTTTTCTCTTTGGTCTCCACTCTTCCTCAAGGCACTCACGTTTGGCTTTGTGAAGGGCTTGCATTAGGGGTAGCAAATCCCCCCAAGACTCTGGTCGACGAGTTGGACGCACATGGAAGGTTCGACTTTGAAGTAAAGCCCGTAAATTCCGATCGAGAAGTGAATTCAGCATATGCTCTGAATGGCCGCTTGCCAAAACAAGAAAATGAGGAATTCGCCAATATTTGGGTGGATCTGGAGTTCACAAAAAAAAAACTACATGAAGCACATGCAAACCCCAAGCAAAAAAGTCTACAATATGATGCCTTAGATGCTGAACGGATTACTAGCCATGACCTACAAAGAATCACCCTCACGAAACGCCCGCGTTTAGTTGTGTTTACAACTGCAGGGTGCCGCCTCTCCGAAGAGGCCCTTCGTGAGGCTCAGATTGCACATTCGATGATACGGAATCTTGGAGGGTTGACTATTGTTTCTACGATCGACATAGTCAAGGAGCCGGGGCTAGCTTCCCTCCTGGGAATCGAATCCGCTCCCCACCTGTGCTTCTATGCCGACGGTAGCTTGGATATCCTGCATAGCGTACCATATAACGGTACGGATATAACGGCCATAGAAATCGCTCATTGGGTCATTAGCCTTGAAGACGCAACACTACAAAAGACAGCAGGTGGTCACACGGCTTCCAGCAAGGCATCTACTATAGGATCTCCGGTGGGCCCTGTTGTGCACGCCTGTGTCCACAATGGAAGCCCACGAGCTGAGCTTGTGTACCAGCTTTCAAGGATGAGGACTCAGCTGCCATCTAGGCTTACATTGTTTAGCATCCAGTATGTAGACTCCTCCGAAGCAGAAGAGCTACGTGTCTACAGGAAGCAACTGCCCTTTGATGTAGGAGAGGAGGAGTTCCTGAGTGCACAGGGGGCAGTGTGGGAGCCAACAGAAATAATGGCTCTGCTGCTTGAAGCAGAAAACCGAAAGGTCTTCTATGGTGAAAGTCCACCCCAGGCGTTATTAGGAACTCGCAAGCTTTTTACTGTTTACGCTAGTCAATTTGAAAACCTGCAAGACATCGCATCGTTGCTTATGGAATTCCAACCAAGATATCAGGACCGCATTGCTTTTCACATAGCCAGCAGCTCGCTAAAAACGGCGGCACGTTCTGAAGTCATATTCAACCACACATGGGGTGGTGCTATCTTATCAGATCAATATGCAAACTTATCAGGTCACCAGAGGATAGCGCACGGTGTGCGGGAAGCAGTTCCATCTGCTGAGTATTCGTTGTCAATGCCATTTAATTACCACAGTATGAAGGCTTTTTTCGAAAAGTGGGAAAGAGGCCAGCGTAGGCTACACATCCGGTCAAATCGCTATGAATACTCTGATATGGGTAGCCCTGTTATGGAACTCAATTATGTGCAGCTTCTTGACCTCTTGCACTCACCACGTACAGCCCCATTAGGTATTCTGTATTACGAACCAGAGTCCTTAGATTGTCAACACTACCTAAAGTTATGGCAGACGGTAGCCAAGGACTTTACAAATCAAGCGGGTGTGAAGGGTGAGATCATCTTCGGCCAAATCAACGGGCTGCTGAATGACATACTTGTTTTTGACGTGAAGAAAAACAAACCAGCAATCGCCGTTTATCCACCAGGGTCAAGGTCTTTGAAGACGCAAGCCCTGTATAAGGGTCCTCCTGTTGTAGAACTCCTGGAAGACTTTTTGTCCCTGCTAGCTGCAAAGCAAGGAGAGCTTTAACAAGCATTGCTTCGTGCTTTCACAAGTATCATCGTTGTTATACTTGTGGCACACGCAGTGTACTAATACTACAGTCGCCCCTCGAACTAGTTAATTCCCAGGTGGAAGCACGCTCAACCCAATGGTAGCTAAACCGGTAGAAGTCTGGTCCGCCCATAGTCTATCAGGGGTCTCGGCTCCAAAGTGTTAATACAGATACAGAGCCGTCTTAATCATCTGCTAATTGGGATATTCTGTAACTAGAATGATTGTCGGGAAGGGTGGCCTTTCAGACTTTGCTATAAGTGCTTGCCTTCCATCAAAGCGTAGTTCAACAAGTAAACTGAGCGAAACTGCGGAAAGAGCTGGAGAATGAACAAATGAATTTTGTCGGCCAAATAGTTGTAGCTGAAGTGCCAGGGATGCCCCTGGGCCAATGAGGAAGCCATTATACCCGAGGTCCAGCCTGTAGTGCATATGAACATTTTTTTATGGCCCAGCATTCTTTAAGTGCTTATTTTGCAAAAAGCGTTTGCTTTCTCGAAGAAGAAGACTGCTTCTCTTAAGGAAGGCTCTTCATATATGTGGTGGGGTCTGACTTACAAGCGTGCTGCAGCCGACCCAGTGGCCGTGCAAGCGTACAAATCGGCATTAATCTCATAGCCGTCTTTCAGCATTTTATCGAGCTTTACAGCGCAACGAAAGATTGATTCGTTCTGTAGATAAACTTGGCACGGGCTTCGAAGAAGGGTGAACACAAAAGTGATCAAGTTCAAGATCCACCCACGCGCGCGCTTAGCCAGGACCAAAGACCATGGCACCCCATAGTGTTAAATGGCTTATTACAGCGCTCGATATCATCAGTAGCCGTCTTCTGAAGATCGGGTTGTCGCTTGGAGCCTGGGTGTGTGGAGGGAGGCACTAAGATAGGAGTTAGCTGGCGTAGAGCTGCCGCGCTTGCTGGCAGTGCACCTGAGCACCCCGCTTGAGCCACTATCAGACACAGCGCAGAGCCCTAGGTAGGCAAACGGTGCTGTAGAGCTTGACTGAACCCCTGACAGACATAGTAACTCTACGCAACTCCTCCGTGGCAAGCCTCGCTACACTTTGACATTTTCTACACCACTTTTATTTAACTAGATTTAGACCTACTGGTGATCTGTTAATATATTTTATTCCTTGCAGAGTGTCGCTTGCTTGATGCAAGAAGGCGCAATCTTATGCACATCTGCGCCAGATGCTATGTGCAGCTAGTACCTAATGCTCGAAATGCTTCCAGGGCGCAGCTGAGCGCACCCTAAATGCGCCTGTTTCCACAGATCGAAGCTCTGAGCAGGCAAAAGAAAACGAAACTTCTCCTCAGCAACTGTCAGCAGTTTTCTACTGACTGCGTACTGAGGCTGGAGTTAATACACAGATCTAAGATTGAGCGCTGTAGTTGGTAGCACCCTATGATTGGATACAGCTGTTCTCCGCTCATCAGCTGCCTAAAGATAAGGTGAAGTGTCAGCTCTCCTTGCAACACTCGTCTTATTCTAGTCGAGTCAGTTGGCACTTTGACTACTTGATGTTCGTTGGCAGAGACATGGGAAGAACGGACTTTCGATGGAAGCAGACGGTGGCGCAACGCATGTTGAGAAGACAAAGACCGGCCTGCAGGGTGATGTGAACGCAGTAGCTCTGCAGCTGGCAAAATGGTACTGGACTTTGGCCAATAAAATGGTCATGGGACCGTCGATGATGATATTTCGACCAGAAAAATATGACGCCCGTATGTATGGGAAAGTGTTTGAGGGCTTTCATCAGCAAATTGGAGATGTACTTCGCTTTGTGAGCGCCAGCTGACAAGAAGCAAGTGCTTCTTGCGACACTGTTACTGGAGGGAGGAGCATTTTCATGGTGACTCTCTACACAAAGAGGAAGCCGCTTTAACCTGCGGGGATTCCCGCGCGTCGAGTTTCATACAAGCCCTGAATCGTAGGTGTACGCCAAGATTCAGTCAGTAGCAAGCTTAAAATAACTTGAGAAAGCTCAAGCCTGTTAATAAATCGATATGTAGTGGAAGATGAAACTTTGGCTGTAGGAAGATGGCTGCTGAGTCATTGGTGTCTATCGGGTTACCCCGAAGTCTTACATCAAGCGGTGGCAGGCTGCGCGTCAACTAAACACTCCGACGATGACAGGTGGAGCTTTTACAGATGATGGACACCCTGAGGCTCGGATGGCAAATTACTAAAACTCCCGCATCTTTAGCTGACAGCAAGAGCCAAGTGGAAAGTTGGAGTCTACGGATGTCGGAGCTGCCTCAACTGGCCCTAGCAGACAGTGTACTAAGGAGAAGAAGTAGAGGAAACCCTCTCTTCTAGGCAGCTTTAGACAGTCCCCAACAACGTATCTGCTTACATGTGGAAAATCGGGTCATCTAGTCCGGAACTGCAAGCCCACGCAAAAAAAGCACGAGAGTTCAAAAGCAGGCTGCTTGGCGAGCGAAGATTCCTCAATAGGTGAGCAGACAGCCCCCACTCAGGCGGCGGCGAAGCTATGGGGACCACACGAGGCAGGGCGAGATGAAGCATTAATTGGGGATCTCTCAGTAATCGATTGGGTGCCGATGTAGTTTACGCCACGGGTCAAAAATTGCGAGCATCACTTGATGCTGGATGTTAGGTGGACCTATCATAAGGAGGCGGCGTAGAACGGCAATCTGCCCTGTCTCAGGCTTGCTGAAGGGCGACCGAATGCAAGAAGTGGCTAGTCTAGGCCCCGTGTGCCTCGTCAAATTACTATTAGGCTCTATTACCAGTATGCGAGACTTTTGGGCTGGACCTGTGCACCGTGATGTAGTCCCAGGTGTGCCATGCGCGGCCCAACAAAAAGCACACGTGGCCACATCTGAGCGCTATGGAGGTTGGTGTGTCAGAAAGCGCTAGAAAAGAGCATCTCCTGGCTTCTTAAACAACGCTAATTTCATATGTGGCGAGTGGGATTGAGTCAACGCCTCAACTGGGTGAGACAGAGCCCTGCAGGTGGTTCTGTAGCTAAATCTTAAATAAGAAACTCCATTGAGCATTAACTTGAGAAAAAGCAGGAATGGGCAAATATACGAAGGGGAGCGGGATGTGCCTCCCCAATGATGAATTGCCAGCATGCTGGCCACCTAGTAGTCTTTTAGAGAACCGTAAGAAGCTCCCCCGTGTTTTAGATTCAAGCTACCTTCTCGCAATATGCAAAGCTCTCCCGAGCATGCAGAGGAGACGTAGAGGCAGGCGAATTTTTTTTTGGACAAAAATGGTGCAGGAATTGGCTAGTGCCTTTCGGCATGACCCCGTGTGGGATTGGGGAAATGGGCGGAAGATGACGCCCGTTGGATTTTTTACAGGATTATCGTAAATCGAAGGTTTTTGATGCCACTTGTTGGCTCATAACTTTAGAATCTACACGGACTAACATCCTACTCAGCATTAGATTTCACAGGCGGCTTCTTACTAAACGGCATTGACCCAAGGAACAGCACTCTAAACTGGGGGCCGCACACTCCAGCACATGTATATGCCGTTTGGACAAATCAATCCCCCAGTTGACCCCCCAACTATAAGTTCATCAGGATTATAGTGGGCCTTATTAAGGAGAGCTAGGTGGTTATCTGTATTAACGACGGCTTATCCTTCAACCCAAACGTTCAAGTGTCCCTAAAGCAGCTCCAGCGCGCTTTAGCTGTTGCAGGGCAAGCATTGGTATGTAAAAACAAGCAACTGTTTGTTTTCGCGGATTTAGCTGTGTTTCTATCGCCTGGCGTGTGCCTGTGGGAGGATCGGACTTCGCGAAGTTTCATGGGGACCCATCTAATTACCGAAACTCCAGTCATGGATTTTCTTGAATTGCTGCTCCTTTGGCCAATCCACTTTAAGAATCGCCTTCTAGGACCTAAAAGAGGAGGATAATGCCGAAGGAAGGACGCCTATCGGCCGGCTTACATCTCCTTTAGTACTTGCGCTACCCGATTAAGAGTATTATCCTTTTCCTCACAACCAAAGCTAGGGCCGTAACGGTGGGTGCTATTCTCCACCAACAGGTCATGAGCTTTCCACAACACCAAATCATCGCTTGTTATTTGCATCGCTTCATCGAAAGCAAACGGTGTTATGCAGCTACAGAAAAGACACTCTATGGTGTTATGGTGCGTGGAAAAACGCCAGCACTATTTATGTCGGCATTATATCACCGTTCCCGCAGACTATACTGGCGCTTACAAAGTGCGTTCAGGACCTTGGTAATGCTTTAGATTCTTGCTGGCGTGGGGGCTTCTTGCAGTAAGACTTTGATGTAAAGTACATTGAGGGTATGACCAATGTGGTCGCCGATGGGTTCGTGAGAAGCTGCAGCGGCTTAGTATTATGCATCACAACCGCTCATATCGGTGTAACTAAGGTTTCCTACATAATTTGCTCGACGCATACACTTTCAGCACACAGATATCCGCTGGTATCTCCAAAACCCAGAATAACAAAAGGTGAAGCACCACTATGTCGAGGATGATAATCTATGTCTCAGAACGGCGCAGGGAATCCATTCTTTGCACATGCCAACTTTGATCCGCAGTGCCATTTCTTAAACTTCAGAGCAATGGCTTGCAGGCCATGCCGGTTTTATTTCCTCAATGAAAAAGCTCTCACGGTCCTCCTGGTGGCCTAGGCTGTGTCCCGCAGTTGCACGTATATGGACTGTCATGCCTGGATTGTGAGCAGCTGAAGTGGTGCAGTTCTCCTAAACCATCCTTCTGCGGATCCTTTGGGCTGCTCAATAGATTTGAACTGATCTATCACGGTAGATGGAGTGCGGGAGGCTAAGGGTCCCGATACCATGAATGTCGTTGTCGACACACGCAGTAAATAAGCCTATGTTATCCCTTGCTTCAGCTCTGTCAAGGCTCAAAAACCTCCTTAACTGGCTTTCGCTCATTTTTGAAAGCTCCAGAATATCCCCAGAAGTGCCATCACGGACAGGCATTCGAAGTATATTAG